CTGTCCTTGCACATTCACTGCTAGTCTAGCTTTTCTGCAATAAGGACATACTTCTGATTTCAGAGTGGCAAGGATTTATGGGACTTTGAATACCACTGAAAGATTCATCTGCAGCCCCCATTTTTATTTTTTTTTTGCCTGATTCAACTGCTCCCATTACTTCAAACACTGTTTTCTGAATCTTCAGGAGTATTATTAATTCACATTCATGTGGTTTATAAGCATGGCTAGCCACCACCATTATTTAATTATTTTGTTTGTTTGTTTGTTTTAAATGGAAAGGGCAAAAACACATGTCTCTGGCTTTTGATCTTATTTACATTTCATTTCTTTCTTCCTTTTTTTTTTTTTTTTTTTTTTTTTCCTGAGAGTGGGAGAGAGAGTTGTGACAGACAAGTAAAATAAGCAAAAATACATTCAAGGCCTGTCAAACCAATTGTTATGACAAACTTTGGCTCTCTTTTCAGGTCTGTCACTTTGCTGTTGTATTAGTTTAATGCAAAATATCGATCTGGCATGAACCAATTCTGCCAAGTCAAATTAGTTTGAAAAATTATGTTGGGTTATGTTTTTATGTTAGTGGGTTTTCAGCCAGACTGAAAATCATCCTCCCTCTTGTAGTTGTTGCAAGTGACAAAAGGCAACATGAATCCTATCTTCTAGTATGCTCTAGTTGATTTGACAGAAGTGTGTTCATGTGCCTAAGCCTGATCCAAATCAAATAGATAATTCTTCAAGATGCTGTAGTTTACAAACCTGACTGATCTTAGGCAAATCCATGTAAAAGCTCTTTTCCTTCCCACCCTTAAAGACAGATGCCAGATTTATAATGTTTGCTGTAGCTACTCTGAGATTCCTAGAATAAAGATGTTTTTATACAGTAAAAATGTTTATGGTGATGGTCTACATAGAAGCAAGTTTCTATTTCCTGTACTCCAAAAATACTTCCATGAAACATGCAGTGCACTTCATGGTTGTCCAAAATAACAACACTGAAAATAGAGCTAGGATGCCAATATGCTATCTAGAAGAAGAAATAAACTAATCCTAGAGTGTGGAAAACTCTTTGGTTTTGCTTGTCTCTATGTTTGGTCACTGTTTTCACATTAGGATCGAAAGATGAAGGAGATGAAAACTCTTTGAAACTGGATGCTTCCCAAAAAGGACAAAGCTAAATTAAAAGGATTTTACCTTTTAATTGAGCTTCACATCTTTGACAGCATGCCATTTCAGCATCTGTTGCTGGAAAATGTTCATTTCAGCCTCTGTAATCCCTCAGACAGTGAATCAAAACTCACTGATCCTTCAGTCTGCCAGAGGACAGGAGGGGTAAGATATAACAATGACCAAATATAGAAAGATTTCAGTCTCCAACTAATTAACGTCAGTGTTGGCTCTTCTTAAAACCAGACTTGCCTGGCTGGGAAGGAAGATGCAAACGTTTTTGTAAATCAGTTGATAGCTGTTTTTAAAATGCATGCAAATAAAGGTTACAACAACTTGGATAAGAGGTTGAGCTGAATCTACTATGGTCACTGCTCTTCAGTTCTGAGGCTGAAATTCATAGAGCTGGAAAGCTCTAGAAAGCACTGATGAGACAAGCAAAGAAAAGTGTAAAAGTTGTGCAATCTGTTCCTGGAAAATCACACTCACAGCTGATTTAAAAGACTGTCATGGTAAAACAAACTCAGTAAATACTAAATCTAAGCCCCAGCTGAAGGTCTGAGGTCCAGAAGAAAGAATAGAGTATTATTATTACTGTGTAAATCGATTCAGGATCATATAAATCAAAGCTTCAGAGTAAGGGGTCTGTAATTTCTTTTGATGGTTAGAGAGCTCAATAGTTGCTTTCATTCTGGCATCCCATAAGCTAACATTAGTTATGTTGATAGTCTTTGCTATAAACTATACAAATAGAGGAGATTGCATATGAAAATACATTATAGCAGCTTTACAACTTGGACCACAATCTGATTGTCAAAAGGAACAAGACTCCCTTATGCAGTGAGAAGCAGTACATAATGAACTTCAATCTCAGGCTCTCTTTAGACTATAATGGGCTTTTTCTTTCCTCAGCTGAGCATTAAGAAAGCACCAATTCATTTCTATACATACAGGATCAGATCAAAAGACAGCAGGTTTGATGGCTCAGATTGATGAATCAGCAGACTGATGGCTCAACAAACCCATAATATGTTCTGATAGACGGAGGACTTGTTTTCACCTAGGCGCACATGCTCTTTCCTGATGTGTCTCCACAGGACTTTCTTCTATAGGACTGAAAGTACACTGAAGGAAAGGCACTAAAGGGAGAGAGCTTCAAATATATAAAAAGTGTAGTATTGCAGTCATTAATCGTTGACCAATGGTCCACACCAGTCAATCAGATGAATGCTAGCTGCCTATTCATTTTGATAGCCAGATAATAGTTCCAGAGGAAACAACACAAGCACATGAATATAACCCTTGTACATGAATGTATGTGTGTACACTAGAACACAATAACAAAAATCCATGTTTCCTCCTCAGCTGAATTACTTTAGTCTGAAAAATAAATAAGTGGCAAAAATGGTTAGTAGTATAGAAAACATAAAGGTTAAGACAGACTGGTGTGATTTATCTCAAAAATGAAACCAATGAACATCACACTTGGTAAGTGGCGAGTTCTCACATTAAGATGTTGTTGTTCAGGTATATCCAGTAGACAGCTATAAGATGTCTTGAATTTTAGGCATGGCAGATACCAACTTCTAAAAGGGATCTGGATGCTAAGAGGATAAAGTGGCCTGAGACAAAGTTTCTGTGTAAAGACAGCACCAGATAGAAAAATTCCTTGAGAGCAAGACAAGGGAACAAGGTGAGACTAGCATTTGATGGCTATTACAAATGTCACATAGCAATGGCCCACACAGAGTTTCGTAAATACGTTGTTAAAATGCTTTGGTATTCAGAGGTAGTCATTAGCTAAAGTCTGAAATGTTGTTGGAAAAAGATTTTGAGGTAAATTAGAAAAGTGATAAAGGACACTTTCTGCATTGATAGCAGGATTCCCAGTCTGTTAAATTGTCTTTGAACCATGTGGGATTTTTTTTTCCTACTTTGGAGAGGACAAAGAGGATCTAGAGGATTATTCAAGCAGATGAGGAGACCAGGACCAGGAGGGAGAGAGACCCATTGCTGGCCCTGCTGCATCCTGTGCAGACTTCACCATGTGTCCTTGATGCGAGATGAGGGGACCTCCTGAGCACGTCCAGTTCTCCAGCACAGTAACTTTCACATAGGTATTAACTCTCTCCAGGCTATGTCATACATCTCAGTTTCCTCAGCATAACTGTTTCACTTTATGACAGTCCCAGATGCTATTCCAAGAAAAATACCTTTTGCTAATACTCATTCTGTTCTGGCACCTGGCTTAAGCTGTTCTGGCAAAAAGTAAGGTAGTGTGAGCTGTATCACCGCTAAGTGGTTTTTGGTCAGACTGGTTTGACAATATTTCTAATCTTTCTTAAGAGTAGACCAAATATGGCTCTGCCAGAAGTCTGGAAAGGAGTCTCCAAGGAAAATGTGACTCATTCAGAAATTGAGGTGGGCCCCAGATGAAAATGTGATTCAAAATCGGTTGAGTGTAAAAAGACGAAAAAAGATAAGGCTTTATGACTGCAATGTTTTGTAATGCAGCTTCGATTAATTTCTTGTTTCTCATGTCATTCCCAGTTTATTGCTTCACTGTCTTCATAAAAGACTAAAAACTCTCTGAAAAATAAAAATTATCACCCTTAATCAGTTTGCTTTATTTTCCATGTCCCAAGGCACTATTTTCTAGGACTTTTAATGCCAGCATAAATCTCAGCAATTACATCAACTTTCTATGGAGTAAAACTGGTGTGAGCTGAAAATCAACCATGTAGTCTAGCTTGGAAAAGTTTTCATTTGGGCTAAGGTTTAGAAGAGTGGAAGAAATATAAGTTACAATGCATTATTTCATTCAAATTCAAACACTTAGTTTCATGCTTTGATTGAAGGCTATTTTACTAAGAGTGGTAGGTCTGGCAAGGCATGGGGAATATTTCTAAATCAAACTCAAACTTTGTGATGAATCCAACTCTCTGTTGCACTATGTGTTATGCTTTGTTTTGTTTTGTGTTTTTTTTTCCTTTTTTATTCTTGCTGTCTCTCTCTTTTGGTAACATTCAGCTTCTTAAAATAAGAAGCCCAAGAGAAACAGGCAGTATTATCTTGATATCTAGGTGTTAGAGCCAGAGTTTTCTACCCTTGCAGTTGGGGGTTCAAGCTTTCTTTCTTTCTCCAGATGAAGAAAAGCAGAAAGCAGTATCAGTTTTGGTGACAGGGATCTTCCTTGGACAGTTCTGAAAAGCTCTTATGGGATGAGAAATACTACTCTGCTCACTTGGCCCCAAGTGTCCTATCCCTGCAACTCCGAGTCATTTCAGGAAAATACTGTAATGATGAAAAAGTGAACACTGAGTACTAAGCACAATCCTTCTGTCTGAAAACAGATGAAGTTGCTGTAAAACTTAAAAGGTTTTATCTTTAAAAAAAGTTCGGTTATTAATTGAATACATTCAAGTATGCATTCCTCTCCACACCTATTTATTGCTTGAAAATAATGAAAATTTGTCCTCAAGTTTGGAAAAGAGTCATGTTAGGGAGAGTAAATGTTTGAGAAAACAATGAGCAACTGAAAGAAACCTCTAAGTAAATCCTCTAACTAAGTTATTTATATACATTTTAAAATCTGGAAACACAAGTTGTTAGCAGTTAGCATTGACACCTATTATAATTTTTTTAAAAGTTCATATTGACTATCAGGCTTATGGAGGAGAATCCCCTTTTCAAATAAACAATAACACTGAATGAAAAATCCTGTCTAAAAATCAGACCTCGTTGCATCTTTCTTTACAGCTGTTTTAACAAATGATTCTATCACTTTTCTGAAGAAATTAAATGTTGGATTTTATTTTATTTTTTAACTTTTCTAGATGAAACGGAGGCACACATTGACTATGAAGATAATTTTCCTGATGACAGATCAATACCAGTTGTTGAGAATGAACATGCCAATGGCAAAGAGGAAATTGAGCAGGAACAAGAACAGCCTTCTTTCAGTAAGAATTCAGAGGAAAGTACCAGAGAGGTTACTCAGGACACACATACTCCTGAAAAAGGAAGCAGGGTACCAACTGAATCCCCTGTTTCACTCCTAAGCCAAAAAAATTTGTTTTGGTTTCCATCAGAGGCTTTCAGTGAGCCTGAATCAGAGAAAGAGACAGATGATTCTACTAAAGTACAGTTTTCTGAGGGTGATAACTATATTGGAGTGAAGACAGTCTATGATGAACCTGGTGCAAAAATGTTTTATGACAGTGAGGACTTCCCCATTGGACCCATTCTCACAAACAATGATACAAAGGCAGAGATAGACAGAGTTGCCATTACTGATGAGTCTTGGTTAGATGGCTATCCTGTAACACAAGTGGTAGAGGATGATGAAGAGGAGGGGGATAAAGCTGATGGATCGATGGGAACAGAAGAAGATATTGTCCTCACAACTGACCAACCAAATCATGTTGAAGTTAGAAAATTGGGCAATGGTAGCCCAGTTCCAGAGGAAGGTTTAACACAAATTGTGGCAACAACGAGGATAGATGATGAAGGGGCCAAAGAGACACCAGTACCACCTACATCAGTGAGTGGTCTGGAGGACTTCAGTGTGAGCAGAGGTTATGATGATGTCGCATGGGACCACCCAACTACATCTCTGGAAACTGTGACTCAGGAGCCCGATACAACAATGCTGTTGGACATAAGCAGCCTAAAAACATCCACGTCAGAAACCTCTATGATGGTCAGCCCCTTTGATCACACTACCTATGAAGCAAAAGGAACAACAGCCTACCCGACGCAAGTAGCAACCACGGCACCAGCTCCAAATATCATTACTGACACATCACCCCAGGAATTAGCCGAGCAAGAAAATCTCACCCAGGGCCTTGGAGAAAACCCTGTCCCCACTTCTGAACCTTGTGAGGGAGAGGGTTGCCCCAAGTCAAGTAAAGGTGCTATCATAGCGGTAATTGTGATTCTTCTGTGCTTGTTTCTGGTTGCAGCTGTACTGGCTGTGTGTTTTTTCAAAAAACGGCAGCAGAAAAATTCTATCTATAAACTAAATGGAAGGTGTCAACCCAGGCATCACTGCTACCACCACTACCACCACCAACACATTGAAATGCAGAAAGTCTAACCAGGGGTCTTTGGGGAGAGATGCTGATATCAGAAGAAAAACATACTGATGCTAGAAGGATCAAATGACTCTTGGATACTAAAATCCAGCAGTGCAGAAAGCAGAAAACAAAACAAAACAAAACAAACAAAACAAAACAAAAACAAACAAACAAACAAAAACCAACAAACTAAAAGAACACAGAAGACAGAAAAGATTTCATCTGATTGAAATCACAGTTTAGCATATCTGACCTTTCAGAGCTAAATAATGTAAATTATGTTTTTATCACAAGAGTCTTTGGGAGACATCAGCAGGGCATGGTTTGCTTGCTAGTACACCTACAATTTGTTCCTCTTTTACATTTTGCTCCTATTAATTGATTAATTGATTAATTGATTAATTTTTGTGTTACCTGGTTATAATCTAATGGCAGGGCTGGTCAGGCCTCCTTGGACTATTCTCAGTGGAATGGGGAAAGAAGGAGGAATGGAGGGGAGAAGGATGTTTTTGGAGCAACCACACATTTGCTGTTCGTTCCTTTTTGAGAACCTGACCAAGTTTGTCAGGATAAACCACCATAACAAATTATTGCTTGACATGTCTTTAAAAGAAAAACTATTTGCTACCATACTTTAATGGATAGTATTGCAATGATTACTAAGGTACTTTTCTTCAGTGTAATGAATTTAACAAGCCAAAAGTGTTGGATTGCTATGATATTTTTATGGAAGGTGTTCTTTTAGCCTTAGTGAAGAAGTGCCATTCTTATACTAACCTTTTATAGAAATGATGATGCCTCCCTGGAATTCAGAGAATACTGCAAAGGCCATATTTCCTTTAATGTCAGCAGGAGAGGAGTCAGAGCACCATTGATTTCAGGTGTTATAATGTCATATTACAGAACAGACATTGATGAAGTACCTTGCAGGGGAACCTAATCTGAAGCCAGTCGCTTTTCTGAGCATGATAGCTACTGACCAAGATTTTGAGTTTTAATTCACAGCCAGTAGTACGTCTGGCAACCGAAGCTACATGTAATATTTCTGCCATATGAGTTCTGTGAAATGACTGATTTTCACCATTCTGCTCTTTCGTCAGCTGAAGAGGTGTCTGGGATGGGCAACGACTGATGATGGGAAATGGGCAACTGTTTTGAATGCTGCTTTTTGTAGTCTTAAAGGTAAACTTCGGAAAGAGAGAAATTGCATCCACTTGACAAAATGCAAAAAGTTGACTTTTATACTGGGTGTTTGCATGAAAACATAGAGGCTTTTCCAACAGCATGTTACATGTCAAACAGTTTTGAAAATAACTGTGGATATAGAGGAAGATGGAGGAAGATGTTTTCTAGAATCCCTTCAAACAGTTCTGGTGTGTTTAGTATGAAATATTCTTCCTTAACTTTCTGAATGAAAAGGAGAAAGACTGACAACTCTGAATAATCTGCAGGTCAGAAATGAATTCATCTGCCACTATGTTGTACAACCTTAGCCAAAATGCTCAAGCAGTTCAACACATCAAAATACTGGAATAATAAAAGGTGACTCGGTGGAGCCCTCCCAATTTCATGATCTGCCTTGAGTCACAGTAGCAATCACCTCTAACTCCATGGAAGTTAGTTAACTTTATGAAATGGAGTGCAGAATTTGGCCCGTCAGGCATCAATGCATGCATCCATCAATCAATCCCAATGCTGGTAAGGAAAACAAAGATTTTTTAAATGACAGATACACAATATCTTGGAGAATTTGTCTTCAGCATGTTAAGAGTTAAACCTAATTGCCTGGAAAAAGCCACAATAATTAAAGAACAACAGAAAAACTGTACAGATTTGTAAATACTGTGTTCTCTGACATATGCATGACTATATGCTTTTAATGCATTCTAAAATATGAAATAACCTAGATTTTATGTTGTAAACAATTTTTTTTTTATGCAGCAGTTTTTAAAAAACAATGGATTTAGTACTAAGGAACTTTATGGAGACTGTTAACTAAAATATACTGTGTTTAATCTTATGGAAATATGCTGAAAATGAACACAGGAACATCCATTAAAATATTGTTTAAATGAAAGATACAAATGTGTGTTACAATTCTGTGAAGCATTATCCAGAATGACAAGTCTTTACTGTTTGTCTCAGGAACTGAACTGTAAAAATGAGACTCAAAATATAATTCAAACACAAACTGTATAGGGATCTTATTTGAGACGTAGAAATACTTGTTATTCATCATGAACCAGAAGAAAATGTACATTAACACAATGCTTTGGAGGTATTTAAATAAAAATCAAGTTAAAGAAAAGCGAAAGGAAGCAGTTGTGTGTGCTCTTGTGCAAATCATCCAGTTTACCTATGTATTTATAGAAAAAAGACAAGCCTGTCACTTGGATAATTCTTGTAGAAGACACTTCGATATTAAAAAATTAGCTGAAAAGTGTTCAGCTTAGGTTGCTATCTCATTTCTGCTCAGAAGAGCATTCATCCCCATGCAGCAGCATCTGCATGTATTCACAGTTTTATTTTACCAGAATGATTCATGGAGTTCGGGGAAAAAAAAAAAAGAAAAAGAAAAAGAAAAAAAAAGAGGGATAAACAGTCCATGAATGATACGTTAGACTTAGACCTCCTTTTGTGTGTGAAACTTGGCTGGTCAAAGACAGTAGGGATGGAGAACAACCAATACAGCACAGTAAATACAAAATCTGAAGATGATAACGCCAAAATACAAGGATGAATTGCTCAGTACAGGCAGTAAGAGCTAGAAGTGACAGACGTGGGTTGAAGTTAGGAAAGCAAAAAGTAAAAGTGGAAATATCAGGCATGATTTTATGATGATATCTATTCATTAAGAGATTGATGTGTTGCCCTGTGATGAAAATAATCTATTACACTCTTTTAGGAAAGCCACGTAGAGCAGGATGGCCAGAGTTAACTCACCAGCACCAAGACTATGATATTCTACCTCTCTTCTCTTTTCCATTGTCCACAATTACCTATTAGTTGGTCCAGGAGATCAGCTCCTGCTACATCTGGCACCATCCTGTATGAATTTGCTACCAGGCAGGATGCGAAGTGATGCTGTGAGGAATCACATTAAAGCTACAGAGAGTCTTCACAGTAGCAAGCCTTTCTCCTGGTTTGGGGTTCCAGACCTTGGAAAAAAAAGGTGTTTGCTCCCCGTTATACAGAAACATTACGATCACAGATCTTATGTGTTTGTTAAGTTCTCAACCTGAAATCCCCTTCTTTATTTCCATTGTTTTCCTTGTATTTCCTAGATAGGGGATAATATACAGTTTATTGCACTGTACTGGTTTATTGCATACTGTACCTCAAATTTTATTGTGTTGAGGATCTGTTGTTGCAAGCATTGGAATCAGCATAGATTGATTCTTTTTCTTCAGTGAAAATAATTATTCTTAATATATGTATAGTAATTTGTAGTGTTAACATAATACTACCTGTGAAAAATCATAATAGGTAGCCATGAATGACAATTTTAAAAATTAGCGATAGCAATAAATTATTCAATAGTTGTAAGATTGTTAAACTACAGGATTACCACCAGTTCAGGAAGATACATAAATGTATCAATTTAAGATAAGTTATAGTGAGAATGAGACAAAGGTAAAAAGCCCCAATTTTTTTTCTGTAAAGTTAGTCACATGAAGTTACAGCTCTGACCCCCATATTTCCATTTGAAAGTAAGAAATTTCAATGACTTTGCAAAAGAACTAATCAGTAAAAAGACATATTCATTACTTTTTGCTGCTTAAAAGGCCTGCCTAAAAGCTACATCAAAGGGAAAAAAAGTTAAAAATACTCAAAGAAAACTTAGGAAGTTTTTTTGTACCAAAAAAAAGGGTCAGCATTTATAAACTTAACAAATTCAGAACTCTCTACAGAATTCAGTTTCCATACATCATCAGTACTCTAAGGAGAGAGAAGAGGGGAGGAAGAAGAGATGGGTGTCTAAACCACTGAATATTTCCTTGCCAAAAATAAATAAATAGGTATCTATTTATTTTAATATTTTTTCCTAGGCACTGAAGAGGACTTAAGATACAAAACGTTGGTTTGCTGGGGTGTGCAACCCAACTTACTTTGGCTATTTCTTACTTAACTTCTTTTTTGTATATAGCTTAAACTCTCCACACTAGGTCATTCAGGTCTTGAGTCACCAGAAAAAAGAAGTTGCTGTTTAAAGTATGGCAGACAACCAAAAGCTCAGACAGCTGCAATGAAAGATTAGTTGTGGGTTTTTCTTACTGCCTTGCTACAAACTGCATCACAGCTCTATGTTCAAACATTACTAAATGGGAATGTTTTCTCTGGCTCCAACTACTTCTCCCTACAGTTTAAGTATTGAATTTTTTTAACTGAAGTATCTTTGGTTTACAGCTCACATTAGAACTTAAAAACATATTTCCATAGTAGCTGGCATATGCAGGCAACTGTTTATTCTCAGTACCAGCCATAATAAACACTTGTACTTTTATAATCCAACAAATCTTTGTCTAAGCACAACTCCGTTTTCAGAGCTGTAAAATTCGCATGCTATTTAAACCATTTTTTCATGAAGACTCTTTAGAAAATGAAATATTTACAATGTCTTCCTTGCATAAAGACCAGTAATTAACTGAAAAACGTGGCAAAATAGGATGGGTATTAATTGCAACAATGTACTGAGAAAAAGCTTTGTAAAGCCAGACACGCTATATGATTTTCAGAGGAATAGATTGTCTTTTAGAAACAAGTTTTAATTTGATGTAGAATTTATTCTGGCAAGTGTGAAAAAACGGCACGTCCTTGGTTGGACGGGATGGGCTTTCCATGTGAATTGAGAACAGCATCTGAGTAACTTTTAAGTTTATATTTTAGCATTCCAAAGCAGTAAAGCTCTGGAAAATGGACCAATTTGAATTCTCTTCTGGCTCATATATTGTCAACCAAATTAATGAAGTTCTGATTGCAGAATCATTACTGTGAATGAAAAAGCCCAGCACTATGTTTGAATTCCTGTTGAATTCGCCAAAATGATCATTCTAAAAGTATTTGTTATTTGAGGTTGACTGTACTGGATATGGGAGTCACCGAGACACATCAAGTATGGAGTCTGAGATACTGTTTTCTCAAAACTGAATCAAACCATACTTTGAGTAGAATTACTACTCCCTTCTTTCTTTTTTAATGAATATTGATATTTATGAGGACAAATTATTAAGAACCCACTAACACATGAATAATTACTGTCAGTAAAAGCAGGTATTAATGTGAAAAAGATTACATACTAGCACAGTCCGTCAGATACATTGATTTCCAACCTGCAATTCTTTTCTCTTGCCCAAACTTTGGTTCTTTTAAACAAAAATTGTCCTGACAGACAGCAGTCTTGTCCTTCACATAAACAGATATCCATATACACTTGAGTGCACTATAGCATTTGTGACTCAGTTTAATCTTAAGTTTTCAAGAAAGACCCCATCACACAGGACACCCACCCAGCAGAAGACCAAGTAAAGGATTGCATACAGGCCCTTGTGTTAGCCATCTGCCACAAGATGAACTTCACCCACCTTTAATCTAGAGCTGTTGACTGAATTACATGCTCAGTATATGGCAGGATTATTGTGGACTTGATTGTAGGCAGCAACGGAGCATCAGATGCCAACAGCAGCTACAGAAATAGCCAACTTTGTTATTAGAATTGTGAGCAATTATTAAAAAGAGTAATTGTTTGACTCCACAACAAGCAATACTACCAATGAGGTTGATATGAATTTCATCTCCAGGGCCAGCAGACACGTGGTACCAATGTTGTGTCTAGTTACACAAACACAATGGCTTCAAAAGAATGATGCTTCCCTGAGCACCAGTGTTATGCCGTAGATCTTGTCAAAAAAATAAATGGAGCTAAAATGTAAACATCCTATCTAGATATGCAGAAGCTGCTAACATCTGAGGTAGGCAACTCATGATTGCAAGAACTTGGGGTGCAGAATGGAAGCAAGAACCATGTTTCCACAGCCTCCCAAGAAGAGCTGACAGGATCAGAGAAGTGGAAGAAAAGACACTAATTTATTGCAGTCACATGTAAATGTTGGCACTTAACAATAGCAGCAGTGAAAGAAAAATCTGTTAAAAGAACCTGAGAATGCTGAAAAAAAAGCCACAATAAATACTGAAGAACTGGAAGAGGAGCTATTTCTCCTTAGAAAAGAAGAAGGGTTTGAAAACTACTTGTACTAATTAAGATTGAACTGGCTTGGGACCATATGGAGTGGAAATTAAGAAAGACAGAAAAAATTCACAGACACTTGAAGAAAATGAAAAAGGGATCACAGTGACATGTTAGAAGGCCACAAGAATATCAGTTGCCTACTCAAGTTAAACGGAACGGTAAAGCACGTCAGACTTAATGTAGACTTACGAAAAATAAATCGTTGCATAATGGACATCTTAGTAAATCATGAACTCCCCACCTGAGAATGTACAATGGCAAGGGATTTCAGCTGTGAACTTGAGAGCTGCGGAAATGACTGAACATGAAAAGAGATCAGCTAAGGAATCCCTAAAGACAGAATAACAAGCTCACAAGAAAATTGATAACACCTGAGGGACTTGCAATGGTTAAATGACTGTTTGATTTTAAAAATTAAAAAAAAAAAAAAAGGAGGGTTCATAGATGCTAAATGTATCCCCAGTGTAACCCACTGAAGTCAAATGAATCTCTAAACAGGTTAACTTTAGTGCCCAGTGTTTTACTGGCAGAATGAAAGTATTACACCAATTTACCACATATGGTGATTAAAAACAAACAAAAAACAAAAAGTGAAACCGTTACTCTCAGCATTGGAGAAAGGAATGGAGTTATTTAGCTGGAAAGAAATAATTTTGCATGGAAAAGCAAAGAGATTCTGAATACTGACTTTGTGTTGTTTCATACTTACTGTCATATATTCTACTTGCCTCACAAACAGGCAAAATCTATTTAGAAATTTTCTGTATACATGCTACTTCCACACAAGGTGCATAGTTCTGGAAAACCTCAGGCCCAGGAACTTGAAGTACCTGTCCCAAAGGTCTTTATAGTACCCTGGTTTTGCACCGTAGTATCTACAGACAGCATGCAAGAGTTAGGGCACTGCAAAAACAGTCAGAAAGCTGTCTGTGCTTGGCACAGCTCCCGAGTCAGTTTGGTAAATGATAAGAAAAAAGCTAACTAAAAATGTTATAAAACAAAGGCAATTTAGATGGATACTTCTTTCCCTGACCAGTTCCAAGTCCTCTAATGTCAGGATTCCTGGATTCAAAAGCTAGGGTAGCAAAGATGTAGCTACATGGGTATACAATTTTAACTTCAGTAGTACAATTCCTGAGAAGGAAATCTGGAGCTGGTCTACACAGGTTGGAAAGAGAAACAAAAGAAGCCTCCAGAGCAGTTTTGAACACACATACACCTCAAACAAGAGAAAATGAGACAAATTGGAGAAACTACCCCAGCAGTATATTGTAATATATGGATTTCATGGTCAAGTGATTGTTTATAATTAACTGCTTGTAAGTTTTAAAAGCAAAGTTAAAATATTACATAAAATTATAATACATGGAGTCCCAATATTGTATGGAACAAGTGTAAGAAAATCAGGTACATCTGCTTTATACAGCAAGCCAAATTTTGGTCTTATTGCCACAATTGCAGCTGGATGTATTTCCTAAAGTTAAAAGGATCTTGATAGATTTTCACTTTGAGAAGAAAATGGTCTTGCCATTGATTTCATTACATTAGTTCTGATATATGTTGAAGAAGCCAAAAACTCCTACAGGATCTTTCAAAACACACATTTTATAATTTAAAAGTTTTAATTGGATGGATGGTTGCATTCAGAGTTCCAGTCATTGGCTCAATGTAAAAGGAGGATACCAGTGATGAGTACTGTTTCTCAGGGGTTGGTATTGAGACCAGCACTAATTAACATCTTTGTTGGTGACATGGACTGTGGGATCGAGTGCACCCGCAGCAAGTTTGCTGATGACACCGAGCTGTGTGGTGTGGTTGACACACTGGAGGAAAGGAATGCCATCCAGAAGGAGCTGGACAGGCTTGAGAGGTGGGCGTGTGAACCTCATGAGGTTCAACAAGGCCAAGTGCAAGAGCCTGCATCTGGGTTGGGACAATACCAAACACAAATACAGGCTGGGTGGAACATGGATTGAGACCAGCCCTAAGGTGCAGGCCTAGGGGGTGTTGGGTTGATGAGAAACTCAACATGAGCTGGCAATGTGCGCTTGCAGCCCAGAAAGCCAACTGTATCCTGGGCTGCATCAAAATAAGTGTGGCCAGCAGAGCAAGGGAGGTGATTCTCTCAGTCTGCTCCACTCCTGTGAGACCCCATATGGAGTACTGCATTCAACTCTAGGGTCCACAGCTTAAGAAGGACATGGACCTCCTGGATAGGGTCCAGAGGAGGGCCATGAAGGTGATCAAGCGGTTGGAGCACCTCTCCTATGAAGATGGGCTGAAGGAGTTGGGATTATTCAGCTCGGATAAAAGGCTCTTGGGAGACCTTATAGCAGCCTTTCAGTACCTAAAGGGGAACTACAAGAAAGCTGATCAGGGACTCTTTGTCAGGGACTGTAGTGACAGAACAAAGGGTAATGGATTTTAACTAGAAGAGGAAAGATTGAGATCAGGTATTAGGAAGAAATTTATTACTATCAGGGTGTTAAGGCACTGGATCGTGTTACCTAGGGAGATTGTGCATGCCTCAGCCTTGAAGTGTTCAAGGCCAGGCAGGATGGGGCTTTGGGCAACCTAGTCTGGCGGGAGGTGTCCCTGCCCCTAGCAGTTGGTTTGGAACTGGGTGATCTTTAAGTTCCCTTCCAACCCAAACCATTCTGATTCTATGATTGCTGTCACAGTCTAGAGGACACTTTAACCTGTGGATTACCCTTCTTGCTCCCTGTATACGCTTAGTAGCATACACACTATGCTTATGCACCATATGTAAGCTATTGGATCAACAACTCAGCAAGAAAGTTCATGTTTTTTGCAATTCATGTCCACCTAGCTGAATTTGGTCACAATGGAAATGAATGTTTTTATCTCCTTAGATGTAAAGCTAAACAAAGACCTTGCAGGTTTTGGTCCTTAAAAATGAAAGAGGAAAGCAAAGGATGAAATCCTGGACACTCTAAGGTCAAGAGGATTTCTGCTCTTCAGTACTCTTGTGCATTAATTCACTACTCATCTCCCATACACCTACGGGGCCTTCAAAGTACTTCTATATAGGACTCTGCCACGTAGTTAATAAAAACATCAGAAATTCACATGCAAGTATTTTTTTATGATTCCACCTAAAATTGACTCAGTTTCCACATGCACTTCTTTTTAAATGAAAAATAGTTCCATCAGAATAAAAAAAAAAAATCAAACTTCTTTCTCCAAAAGAGAATAATGAATACATAAACCATCGTTATCTTATACAAGATTGGCCTCATCTCACACAGGAACCACAACTAGTTTCAACAGAAAGACTAAGAACTGGTAGGAAGGAGGAATTATTTATTATTCAATTCTAAGTGACCTTACTTTAACATTGAATTTAATTTAGTTTTTAAGAAAGATAAAAACTGCTTATAGAATTCTTAAAGCATTTTCTTTACAAGATCACTAGTTGTCCATTGTTGATTGTTTCAGCTACTTAAAAGTTCTCATTTGTTATCTTAACATCTTTCAGATGCATTGGGATTCTGTATCACTTTATTAATCATAATGGAAAAGGTCATATATAAATAAAACAATAAAAAGCTCAGAAAGTCTTGAGGAACTGTTAGATTATCCTTGGTTCATAATCTGAAAAAAGTTCTTTGGAATTTATCTGTTCTGCTACAATGTAGTAGAACAGCACTGAAACAAGGAATATTAGTGTTAACCCGGAAAATAAGAATAGTCAGTTTTGTTGTGTTTGTAAAGGAAAAAAAAATCAAGAGAAAAACTCATATGCACCAATTCTGTAAATGCACAGTGAAAATCCATGCTCACTAAAGCGTCAGTGCAGCATAGAAGTGATATTTCAGGAGTGGATCTTGTGATGTGTTCTGGAGCTTACAGGAACAGCTTTGAGGTATATCCATCTGGAACTACGAGTGACCAAAACCAACAGTAAGATGCAATGGTGAGTCTTCACTTTTGTAAAATACTTAATGGTGGCTTCACTCATCAGGATTCATTGTTTTCCTCCAATTCTAACAGATCATCAAGGAATTCCACAACTTCACCCTAGAAAGGATTAAAATGAACAGAAATATGTTAGCCCAGTACTCCAAAATGAGTAGAAAATGTTATCTGTTTTTCATTAAAACATAAACTGTAATAATTGGTGCTAAACTATCTTTTAACACTTTTATATAGAAGCTAGTACGAGTCTATAAAACGCAAACTAATGGCTATATAGGTATAGCCCATATACTTGGCAGGGTCATACAGACTTTAAAAGAAGAAAATGTTACACTTCACGTTAAATTTTCTTGTACTTTTTCAGGTATTTAAATAGACAATGAAATTGTCAAATTTAGAAAGTAGACGCATAAATGTTTAAAGCACCTGTTAAATTAGGAAATTGTTGAAATACTATGAAAAATTAAAGCTTCAAAATTCAAAGCAAAAGTGTTTTGTAAAATCATGAATTTGACTTTGTTATCTGTCTGTTCTAGCAGCTAATGCCCTCTGCTACAGCCTTCAAAAACACACCCCCTCTATTTTCACCCATGGATCTTGACACGTTATACTTCAGTTCAACAAAAATATAAAGAACCAGAGATACCAGAATGTTTTCCATACTGGAAACAAATAATTTGGTTTTAAATACAGACCAGGTTAAAATCAGACCATATTATACTTAAAACCTCCATCATACTAGTACATGATACCAACGTAACATAACAATCTAACTTTCTTTCTTTAAACCGCTCCTGGCATAGTGATGTCATATACCACAGTCAAACATCTTCTTGCAGTCAAGCCAGAGTACTTTGGGATGATACTGCCCCCTCAGCTGGAATTTACTGGTTTGTCAACCAAGCTACAGTAACTGAGTAATAACAAGTTGTAATCAGTTTTAACCCAATGTAACATCTTCAGCAGTGATGGAAGGGGATAACAGTAAACATGCAGCAGCGACTCCAAATACACAAAAGTGAAGGTAGCAGTACATTTACCTGTACCCTCAGAAATACCAGTATTTTCCTATTTGACCTCCATGCACAGTTCAGAAACATCACTACTCGAGTCTGGACATATTTTCACTTTTTGATACAACCCAAATACTGAGCTGTAAGAGAGAGGTAGATGCTCAACTTTATATTTCCAACCTTTCATTCTAATAACTACAATGTTGTGTTAAACTGTTCATCCTTTCTCAACATAAATTTATGTGCTCTAAAAATGTTAAAAGATTTTTTTTCAAAAACAAATAGTAACTTTCTGATAGAAAAATCAGATTTTTTTTTTTTTTTATCTAACCGAGAAATCTGATCAGGTCTTACTCAGTCCCAGATTAAAAATAATCAGAATTTAAAACAGTGGTGCTGAAAGCAAGTCACCCTTGTACGGATGTTCATTTCCATTCCCCCTCTTCCCTTCACCCCTTAGTCCAACTCTTTGTCAACTCTATTAGACTTTCCGAGTTTGGTCAACCGAGGCTGCAAACAGTATTTTAGAACGCTAAATAAATTTTAACCACTTTTTTAATCTACGAAGGTACTAATTAGGAGGACAATTCCTTCCAGACAGTTTGAGACTCAAACTTTTATTGTTTTCTATTCTGATGAAGAAAGAACATTCATATGCCTGTGGTCAGTGAAAAGAACAAGAAATTGAGGCTTTTTTTTTTTTTTTTGTCTTATTTTGAATACAACAATTATATTATGGGTATGGCAATTAAAAATACTAACATGACATTTTTCAGAAGTGTGATCAGCAAGGAGAGAAATAATAAGAACCAAGCAAATAAAAATAAAAGTGGGAGGAAAGCTGGCTTAAGTAACTGCTGCTCCTGTTCCTTGTTTCACAGTTCCACCTTAAAAGACAGTTGAATTTTTTCAGCTGTGGTTGTAGCAAGTACTGAGGGACAGCAGTTTATTTTTCTTTGAATTTATTCAAAACATCTAAATTTCCATTTTAACAAAAACACATGAAAAAATGCCAACACATTCATATTTCCTGCTTGTCTTCCTTGTTGCAGGAAGTCTGGAACCGGAAATCAGGAATTCAACATTTCTGCATGCTTTCCTTTGTTAGAAGTATTTCGATTGCCTAAGGAGCCCACTCATGGGAAGAACTCTGTACCACTTCACAAATTCATACGAAGAAAATAGCCACTAGGCCCAATAGTCACTATGAAAGCATTTTAAAGACCAGAGCAGAGGCACAAAGGACTTAAGGACACGTTTTCTAGCAAAGCTCTTAAAACTGTAGCCATAAGCATGTAGGTGCCTCTTGAAGAACTACAGAGAGGCAGGTCCCATTAAATCTGAACAGATTTACGAGATTGGGAAAATAGGTGTCTACTACAGGGGTCTCGAATCGAATTCAGACAGATTCTCTTACACACCTTAGAAACACTGTTGAATGAAAGAATAACATGTTAAAAAGGAATTCTCTTCTTAGTCTACCTCTAAAGACAAACTTCAAAAGGTATGAGCAAGAGAAGTAGGATGAAGGGCATAAACATCTGACCGCATGGCCTAGAACTGAGTATAAGGAAGACAGAGAGATTTCAACATTGTGACCTTGGTAACTCAAGCATATGGTAAACTAATTCAATTTATATTATTGTCATGCTCATCAGTAAAGTAAGATATTCCAGAAGACATAGCAGGTTGTTTAGCCTAGAGAAAAGAAGGCTCTGGGGAGACATTATTGAGCCTTCCAATACCTGAATGGAGCCAACAGGACAGCTGGGGAGAGGCACTTTAGCAGAGTGTGCAGTGATATGACAAGGAGTAGTGGCTTTAAACTGAGAAGGAGAGATTTAAATTAGATGTAAGGAAGAAATTCTTTACTGAGAGGGTGGTGAGGCACTGGAACAGGCTGCCCAGAGATAAAAGATGATAATACTACGTCAGAAGAGTTGATCACATTGTCACTCTAACAGCTGTGACCACATTGATCACTGTCCTTGCCCCATTAGCACTGACTTGACACTGCATCAGGCATTTTGCATGACCAAAGTCAGCAAATACTCCACTGATATTAATTCCAGGGAAAAAGCCTCCTGCACACTGATGTCTAATATTAGCTTCATGTTAGCCTGCAGACTTGGAGTCTGAAAATGATTCTCTGATACGACTTAAGCATTCAATGTGACAGATTTCTTCCTGTTACCTACCTTAAGAGGAAGCACAACAAATTCTCCATCCAGAGATCATTGCAAACCCGTAATTCTTCCTGCTGCCAGCTACTAGAGAGAACACCAGACATGCAGTTCTAATGCAGGTTACATAAATATGCTGCTCCGACAGTGCTGATGTAAATCAGGTTGTGCAATACATGGTCCACAGCATGATGTAGCTGTCTGGCTGGTAGCTAGTATGTCAATATATGAAGTCTGACTAAGCATGGGGAAGAGCAGGGTTTGCTGTGAGACCACTCCATGCCTGATAGGGCAGCTGGTGACCAGAAGGCATACTCATGCAGACTGCTTGGTCAGCTGCTGGGAAGCACATCCTCGTTGGCAAGTCGGCCTTTGGTCTACAGTCGCTGCTTCCTGGTTTGTGGTGGTGCCCAACATCATCCGCCAGCACCCCATGACCTACCTCCCCATATGATAAACCTCTTCCCTCTCCCCGTCCAGGGACAGTCAGCAGAAAGTGGGAGTGACAAGAACGATGCATAGGTAAAGATGGACAGGTATAGCCTGAAATACGGGAGGACATTTAGCAGTAGTAGGGGAATGTTCCCAGAGTGGTGTGAGTGGCAGGAAGAATCACAGAAGCCGATCAGCTGGAGCCTCCAACTATCTGTTAGATATGCAGATAGAGGACCCTTGGCTCAGATTAACATCTGAACAGAGGCACAAACAGAAAGAACAAGTTTTGTACCACAGTAATTCAAGAAGGTTTTACAGACAGTACTTGACTAGGTGAATTATAATAAATACTAAGTTTAAAACAGAGTTCTTAGTCAATGTATAAGCTAACCTAGGGTACTGAAAATGGTGTACCAGCTACTATAAACAAGGCTAGAGCATTTGAAAAACAAGTCCTAAAAAGGAGGAAAAATGCAGAACTCCTCACTTATTACCACAAGCCAAGTGTCCGAGACCAAGGTACACACTGGGCCAGGGATTGTTACTGACCCTTCCTTATGCAATATTAAATGCTGCATTCACATACACAAAACACAACCTCTTAGAAGAAACATCTGTATTTTGGAGATTACTAGCCAGCTATTAAAATAAACAGCAAGGAAGAAAAGCTACCAATACCTGGCTCAGTTATGGCTCGCTTGAGACTGATGGTCCAGCACCAACTTTTCTTTCACCAGCTGCATTTAAAAATAGTAGCAATCAGTTGCAGTTGTACTGCTCACTGACAGACCTCAATGCTTTGCCTTTGTTATTAGGCATTGCTTTCTGCATAACAAATACTAATCATTCAGTGTCCTTGCCTCTAACCACAATCTGTTCTGTCCTTTCTCAATGTGGACTGGAAAAGTTCTGGGAAAAATAGCTTTCATGCAATAACCCATACTTTCCATGCAGATTTGCCGATGGCATTTTATATAGGGATTCCATATACAGTGCAGTTCAATAGCTTGTTCCTCAGGGAAGAAACAGAGAATACTAAAATAAGTGTTGTAGAATGAATTAGGATCTACATAAAAAAATATTGTTATGAACATGCATTCATGCCTGATTATTAGTGAATGAGTAAGAAAAAGCCTTTATCCTCACTATTCTTAGAAACTGAGACTTGAGAGACAAAACACAGAGAAATAAGAATTGTCTGGATCTTTGTTTCCTTTTAATCTATGACCTAAAAGGAAAATATTTATCCCACAAGGGTGTCCTTCATAGCAAAAGGTCAGATTTTGCAAAAGTTGGAAAAACATAATGACTGGAAACTTGCTCAATAGTAGAGTAACAAATCCTTATGTACTGGCTATAGGTGACTATGTTTTGGTAGCGGGAAGCTTTCAGGGGTGCCCTCTGTGACAAGAGGCATGGGGCTGTCCTGTAAGTCAGAAGTAACTATCCTATAATTGCCCTGTTAACTAATATGAGTAACTAATGGGAGTGGAGACACAGTCAGATTCATGAAAAAAATCAGATTTTGTTCATTCTTTTCTTATGTGTATAGACTTCAATGACTAATAACCATTTTGTAGGAGAGAAGATAAAGTTTTGATATGGCTGACAGTGGAGGCCATGTGCTGATAGAGGCTGCAAACACATACCACACCACCAACCAAACACTGAGATTTTGGGGAGGAGCTTTTTTTCAAGATAGCAGTAAGTTATGTGTCAATGAGTGGCTCAGCCATGTTGCCTGAAAGGTTTATTCAGCCATCAACCAAGAATAAATTCCTTGATCTAACCTTCAGTTAAAACATCAGAGTTCCCTGTAACCACCTCAAAGCCCTCCCAGATCCTCCATGAACCTTAAAAGCCAGACTTGACATTCCTTACATTCTAGCAGGAAAAAAAAAAAAATAAAAAAAATAAAAAAAATAAAATTCTTCATGTAGAAAAATTTGGTCCTTATCTTGTTTATTTGTCAGATGTTTTGTCAACAGTGTGACCCACTGTCACATGCTTTTAGTGATTTTTAAAATTTTAAAAGAGCTTAGTTGTTCCTTACATGCATGCTAACTACTTTTCTCAAATATTTTTTCATTTCATTTTTATTATGTATTATGAACACGTAACTGTTCTCTCCCCATATACTATGGGAGACTGCAGTACACTGCAGTGATTACAATACTATTTTACAGTAAACTAATCAATGTGCTTTTCTCTTAACGTTTTTATAATGCCTATAAAACATGAGTTAATTCAATTTCAGAGCAACTTCAACATTGCCTTCACTGCACTGAAAACATAAGTCTTTTCTGCTTATGCTCTCTTTGCTGCTTTATGCTGTACACAAAAAGTTTAAGAAAATTTGTGGAGGTAAAAATTCCTCCTAATTTCTAATCTAATCCTGCCATTTAAACCCTGCTATGCTCGCAACTTTCCAATGTAGGTGTTTTAAATGCAAGGAGAAACACCTTTGACTAAGATACATGTTTAAAGATAAAAAAGCAAGAGGGAAAAGAAGCTTCTGAAGACAGCCAGCCACATAGGCAATACCTCCAGTAGAAAACGATGATGAAAAATAACCCATTTTTATTTTCTCTAAAGAAGCCTGTATTGAACAAGGACTGTAACAATGCCAGTTAACTACCACTCTTCTCTTAACAGCTGCCACCAGCTCTCTTCAGTGTAGCAGTGCTATTGTAGCCGTTTGGTCTGAGGTCAAAGACAGTACAGAGTTCATATGTCTGCACTTACAACTTTCCCTTATAAATGCACTTGTGTAAATCATTTGAACATATGCAAAAAGTGAGTTAATATGGCCAAAAATATGTTGTTTGTGATTTCTGAACAGAAAAATAGGCTGAATTCAGCCTATTATTTGCTATCTGTAGTCCACTGGGCCCTCACGCCTTGATGCTATTCCATGTCTTCTCTTTCTACCAGTCATATTAGTTCAACACTCACTCTCCTGTGTGTCACATTTCAGAATAGAGCATTTGAGTCTCAGCTATTATACACTTAGATGGATACACAAAAGGCAAACAAGAGCAGGATGACAAAAAGAAAAGAAAAAAAAAAAAGTGGGCCAAAGCTTCCAACAGTTTTTCACCTACTAAGTACCAAAGGAAAAAACACATTGTTGCATCACCCTAGCCAAATACTTGTGGTTCTTATGTAATTTAGAATAGCTAAGTAGCTATCCCTGAAAATAAAAAAGTCTTCAAGAACACTGATTGTATGGGTCAGAAACTTGTCTCCTATAATTATTGTAGTGCTGAAGTTATATCTGCACTAGTTGAGTATCTGGCTCTTAACAGCATTTCATTTTGCTATGTGCAGTACTGTGGAGTACTTAAATCTGTGCAGTACTAGGAGTTATATCTATTATAGCCTTTATGCATTACACATCTGAACAGAAATCAAGAAGTTTGATTATCCATGGGCAACTAAGATGACAGCACTGTGTAATGCTCTGTTAAATTTGCTGTGGAAAACTATAAGGATATATAATAATAGTTACTTGTAAGAAAAAGTAATCTGTAGCAAGTTGTCATTAATATTCCCTGTCACCTCTACAGTGTTAGATGTTTGAACTAGAGTTTTTCATTTCCCTATAGAAAAACATTAATAAAATAACACGAATGGGACAGTATTGATTGTAGTGACATATGCAAAAATCATTACTACATGTTCCAGCCTCTGTAATTACTGTAACGTATTATTGGAAGAAGCCACATGTTTTCACTCACTTTGCTAATGGGATTTGAAAAGACAGACATGTGGATGATCCGGAGTATCAGAACACTGAAAACTCTGAATAAAGTAAGATTCTCCATTTGAAAGTATGGACATGCTCACAAAGGAAGATATCCTTTAGCCACATCAATCCTTTTGCTTCACTCAAGGAAAAAGTGATTTTTTTTCTCTTGAATTATTCTATTATTCCATGAATAATAGAATAATTCAAGAGAATTCAAGTGAGTTAATTCTATGAATAATAGAATGATGAATAATTTCTCTTGAATTATTCTATGGGCTTGTTGTGCCACAAACAACTTCACAGACAGCAAATACGGAACACAGAAACTCACAAAATGCATGGTCTACAGACCAAGAAGCACATAGTTTAAATGAACAGTATGCACTGAAAAAAGAGGTTGTCTCCATCCTCAGTGATTTTTAATGCTTTTACTGTAACACCTTATCTGAGTTTTTCATCAATTTTCCACATTCCCATAGAATAAACTTTTCTGTCTTTGCCAGGAGAAATATTATAAAACAATATTCCATTTATACTACCATGTCCTGCCCATCCAGCAGAAACTGCAAAGTAGTGATGTTATCTTTGTGCTATTCCTGCTCTGTCTGGAGCCTACATGGCTCCTGCAGCCAAGCAGAAGCTCAGGTAGCCAGGGATTTATAAGTTCATTACCAAAAGCCAGAGCCAAGCCAGAGGCATGAAGAGCTTCCATCTCTCCTAGGTTCTTCAGTCCTATTAAGGGAGGGCACATAAGCCCATTAGCTTTTTCCCAGGAAATCAGAATGATAACTTTCCTAACATGAATATTGTGGGGTAGGGATGGAGAGGATCATAGAATCATTCAGGTTGGAAAATACCTCTAAGATCATCTAGTCCAACCTTTAACCTAATACTGACTTGGTATATGGCATGACCAAGCCCAGAAATTTTGCTTGTTTAACCCAAACATAGCCCAGGGTAATGCCACTTCCTTGACACTTCCCCAAAAGTTTAGTTGACATTTCCACTGTACTTACCTCTTGTAGATTGCAAGGTCATTTATCATTGTACCAGTGAAATGGGCTACAGTTGATATGCCAACAAATGAATATATTTTTTTTTTTTTCTGTATTAAATGCTTGAGATTGAAGATTGCTTTTATAATCCCTTCTTGTAACAAGATACAGGGAAAGTCCTCAAAATAGACTGCTTCCCTCCTTCCTTAATTACTCATCCAGTTGTCTTGGAGCAGCAGATGTGAAAGAAGGATAAAATTACAAATGAAGTTTATGCCTAACGTAAGAAAGCATTATGGGCAAAGCATTGTGTTTTCATGAACCATCACAGGAATATAAAAAAGTGATCAAGTATTTATACACCCTGATGGAAACCCCCATCTAGTCCTCATCTAAGCTTAACTTTATAACAATTCTATTGAACTGCATTTCAAAGACGTTTATCACAATGGAAAGACTTCTCAGTCTTCCTAATTTCTACTAACCTTAGAATGGAATTTTACCTAGTTGTTTTCAGGTCACTAGCATGCTGAAGGCAGTACAGACACATTACTTCTCCACTATAGAATATTATCTCTCTCTATATGCTGGATAATATAAAAATTGCAAAGGTGATGTATTTTATAACATAAGCCATTTTTTCTCTTTTCATTTATAAGTAAAAAAACACCTCAGCAGTGCTCAGTGCGTGTATACTGCCTCATACCATGCCTGAAGACACCTCTTTGCCAATGCAAGCAATGAACTATTCCATCACCTGAAGACTTTTTTAACCTTTAAATGAAAGTTACTGAAAATAAAACAATGCAACCCAAAGCCTCCATGACATACTTTAACTTTAGCTGGGGAAGACAAAGAAATGCCTTTTCAACAATTAAACTATTTTTCCTGCACAAAAATCCACTTTACATATTTCAAGCCTAATAGTAGTCATTACGTGTCCCTTGTCCATGAATTCCAAGCATTTCAGAAGCAAGACTTCTGAAGACTTCTAAGGTGACCAAAATGTTACTGTACAAAACAAAAATAACAGGACTTACTTTTGATAAAATAAATGTAATTTAAGTGGTTACTTACGGACCAAATTATGAGAATTTTAAAACGTAATTTAAACATTTCAGAAAAAAAAAAAGTGAGGGGAGTTGTTAAATATATAGTACTTCTCTGCCCCCTGGTGTTACAGCTTGCAAACTGAATTTTCTTTTGGGGGCTGGGTGCGTTACATTTAGTCTTGTATTAATATTGCCCATTATTCTTTTAAATTGTATGTAAGTGATCTAATGCTCTTTGAGTTTGTTTCTTATATTCATTTACAAAATAAGAATTTATGATGAATTGGTTACAGTTAAAAGAAGATTTCTCCATATTAGATAAATCTCAGATTTCTAATTATGCATCATCTTCATTTTAATGTGATTGATTTGTTTTTCTTTCTTTTACCATCAGTTCCTCTCCAGAAAACTCACCTCATCATCATCCATTAGATGTTCCTTTGCGAATTCATACATTTCCAACTGGAGTGTGGTTATGTTTTGATATCGAACTGCATCCTACCAAAAACAAATTTGCTATGTTACTTTAGGGTACTAAGACACGGGAGTGTCATCGCATGTCATCTGAAACTATTCCAGTGAAGCTAGAGCCAGACTCAACAGAAGGTAAATTCCAAAGGGTTTAAAATGTTTTAGAAAAGAAACAGCAGAACAGCAAGCAGTATATCCAATGTCTTCTGCAGATCCTTCTAAGCATAAACTCCAATGGTGTGAGAAGAACAAAGCACTCTCCTGTTTCTCATGTTTCAAAGCATTGGCGAGTCAGAGGATAAGGAATGAGACTGCCAGAGCTGAGCAGCAGCCTGTGCCTGCATTCCAGTGGGCTTTGGACATGAGAAAGCCTCCATCTCCCTGCATGCTGGCATATAACAGCAGGCAGTTCTGGGAAAATGAGACACTAAGCTATTTTGCATTATAATGACTCACCACCCTGGGCTGGATTCTGAGGACAGGAAATTCTGTAAAGCCGCCTACCTACCTATCCCTCCTCACTTCCCTGGGTGTTTGCCTGGACAGCACAGTTTAGCTCAGTCACTTACTCTCAGATTGATGAATGCTGCAAGTAATCTACTTTGATTATCCCATTTAGACCTTTTCAGGGAGGAAAATAGGAGACTTCCTCTTTCACAAGGATGTCTAAGGCTTAGTGCCAGAGCCATTTACTTCTGTCACTCTGGTACCACTTTGTGAAAATAAACCAGAAACAGTATGGTTTTCATGGCAAGTGATTAGGACAGCAAGCAACTTCTGTTCATAGTTAGATGGATCAAAGTACAACAAAATACAGCTGTATGCATTTGATATTTAATATTTAAAAATTAAATCATCTGTAATCTCAAGTCCTGAGAAGTTATCAATGAAACATTCAGACTTAATGTGTAGGGCCCTTGTTCTGTCTTCTCTGCATGTGTATGCCAAATCTGTTTGCGGTCTGAAGTTTTACACTGCTCTTACCCCTCACTCACACTAACATCAAACACTGTCTCCAGTATGGCTACAAACTGCAGTTCTGTTCCCAGAAGTAGCAACAAAAGAATGGTCACTCTTCCCTTTGAGCTCAGACTCACTGCTACTACTGCCTGAAAGAACCAAATACATTTTCTCTCTATTCTGTCTCTGTTGGCCCTGCAGGGCAGCCTTGGTTTCCAGCACACAAATAAGATGTGCTGCACAAAACTCAACAGCTGCCCACAAACAAAAAATGTTTAACTCATACATACTGATATTTTTGACTCAAGCTGACTGGCCTAAGAGGAAGGAAACTGTTATCAAATTATTACAGAGAAAGAAAAGGCACTAAATTCAATTTGTGGAGCATGCCATATGCTAATTACTTGTATAGCATACACCACCGATGCCTAAGGAGTCACAGAAGTGTCACAAAGCAGTTAATTCAGCTGATTGACATAAACCCTGGTAACAAGAAATGACAGAAAATCCAACTTGATCATCACGGTCCAGGCTGCAGAAATCCAGAAACACAGCAAAGATATTTTCACATGTACCTTGGACATGAAAATTTAAAAACAGCATTGAAATCCAGTTTTAAGAATTATTTCTTAAACTCAGATCATAATCCCTGGATGTTTCTATAGCATTTTAAATCATTCACATACCGATCTGGGCTGAAAATCCTCTTCTTGAAGTCCCCATTTGTCTTTGTGGTACTGATAATAGACCATGTTCTGTTTCATTACTTCGTCTTTCTGGTCAAACAGAAGGTAACTAGCAGCACAAGAGGCTGCATTCTTCATGTCATTCACTAATTAATAAACAAAAAAATAAATCCAGACAAGGTAAGTAAACAAAACAAAGAGAATAAAGAGGTTTATTATCTACATTCAAAAAAACTCTAAGGAAAACAGGAACCATTTTCCACCCTCTCCACAGCTGTACTGAAAATTAAAAAAAAAAAAAGATTCCCAGAAAGAATATGCTATTTTTGTGTTCTGAAACAGGTTAAGTCCATGATTCAAAAATGGGGACTTACCTAACACAATCTTATGACTGTAAGAGTCAGGTCATGGACAAGAGCAATACAAGATGCTTGGCTGCCCTTAGACCTACCTCCTTCCTCTTCTTAGGGCAAATGGTGTAACTTACCATCAACACAGAAGGTGATTTTCCTAAGACATTAATTTCTTGTGATGGTTTTCTAAGACAATCCCAACCAAATGTTCCTCCCAAGTATTCTAGTATCAGCAGGGTATCAACCTACAGCTTGGGTGATCCCTACTCTGGCATTTCTTAAAAAAAAAAACAAAAAACACAAAGAAACAAAGAAAAAATAAACAAAACCAACTTTACTAAAATTGACAAAGACAGAAAAGTCAATATATGAAACATAATCAAACAACATATGCAAAAAGTCATTAATGGTTTGGTTCTACATGGCTGGATATGTCTTTCCTTTGATATTGGAGCAGAGGGGAATAGCTTTAAGGGCTGCATGTGTTCTTTATGGTGCAGGCAGCTCCTCCAGAAACCACAAAACTCACTGAATGATTTACCTATCAAATATATAATCACTGAGGACCAGAACACTATCATCTCTGTTAAGTGGGCCTCTCTTTCTTCACAATGCAGGTAGCCCCACACACTCTATTCTAATGGGATTATGAGAATCCACTAGGAAAAAGAAAATGTATGAAATATTCTGTAGGTTTGTCTTGCGAGAAATTCTGAATAGTAAATTGAGAATTTAGTATTTATTCAATAGCTGCTGTTATGTTAAATGTGTTTTGTTGAGGTCACAGTCTTTCATCTTACTGAATGAGTTAGAAGTTTAAAACTGTTCTCATTAGAGCTATCCAATCAGCTGCTTAACAACCACATGGGCCCCAAAGGTTGACCACTGTGGTGTTCTGACACAAGTCTTTTTTTTTTTTTTTTTTGTACATAGGTACACAAAACATGTCTGAGTCCTTGCATGCATTCTGGTGCATAGGATGCTATTTACCCTAAGATGTCATGCTACGGTCTACTTCAAAAAGGCGTAAGAGCTGGTACATTATTCATATATATATAATACATATGATAAACATTTAACATTTATATGGAATTCTGGAAAGTGTAAGTAACTTGTGCTAGCAGTAGATATAAAAAATGAAGGACGGTAATGCATCAGATCACATTCTGTAACTGTCCCGTTTTTCCAACACCCAAGTGGAGACCAGTCACAACCAAGAATGTCTTAAAACAGAGGGGCTTAGCCTGAGCAGAATGCAGCATCTATGAGACTTATATTCAGCAATTCACTATGTCATGGACAATTTTATGAGCCAGAGATCATCATGCTTATGTCCAATGCCTACAGTTACATGGGAAGAAAAAAAACATACTCACCTCAGAATTTCAGCTTCAGAATACGCAAAAATGCAGATTCTGGAGACTGCTTAAATGTAAGTAGTGATTTAATGTGCTTAAATAACATTGGGATGGTGTGAGAGGGTCTTTTCCCTGGTCTTTTCCCTCTAGTTATAATGCTTTAGAATGTAAATAATACTTACATTTATAATATGCAAATTGTAAGTAATGGTACATGGTGGCCACAAATTTCTCGACAACAAAGCCTCCTATAATGGGTGTCAGATTACTCTCACACTGCACTTTGCATGCAAGGACTTCAATATAATGATCTATAAGGAAGAAGACAAAAACACAGGATACGAGTAGAGCACAGTGAACTGTTATAACCCCTCCCATTAACTACCCATTAAAATTTGGCCTTATAATGCTCTCCTAGGTCCTGTGCATCCGGATCTTGCTGCTTGGAAATAGTGACCATCTACAACTCCATCTGGAGTACATATCAAATGCCAGTGCTCAGCTCTTCTGCTAAAATCAGTAGGATCAGGCCTCCAAATGCACCAAAATCACAATTCCTAACTAAGCAGTTAGATTTCAGTGACACCTACAGGCAGTTTGAGGTGGTAGGTTTTATAAACTGTTACATGGTACTGCATTATTTCCTAACTGTGAACTTAACAGTGCTGTTTTTGAGAGCCTTTACAATTTTATTAAATAATTTCATAATTGAGGTCCACATGCTACCGAGTACAACTGCATCACAGAGAAAGACACCGGGTGATTGCAAAATAAACATCCATAGAGAGCTGTGTTTTGTGACAACTGTTTGGATGTTCTAATAGAACGTTTTCTGACAGACATGGATAGATGCTGCACATTACAAAATAACTTAAATCCACCAAGGTTATCCAGTGCTTATCCAGTCTGCAAAGCTTGGCACATGCTTATCTGGTCTGCAAAGCTTGGCACAATGGGATAGGACTAGAGACGATTTTATCTTCAAGAAAATACATTCCAAGAAGGTATGTTCCAAGAAAAGCTTCCATCAAAGAATTCCAAGCTTTTTCAGGACATATAACATCAAGCAACAACACTGAACAGAAATATTTTAAAGCCTTAGTTTCCCTGTTAGCCACATTTGGCAGGTGAAGCAAGTTACCTAAGCTTGTGCAGCAAGTCTCTGACAAAGGAAAAACAAACAAACAAACAAAAAACAACACAAAGGCCCCTTCCCCTGTTTTCATCTCTGACAACTCCTGTCACGAAGAATACTAAAGCTAACTGAAAATGCTTGGCCAAATTAAATTACCAGACTCCTCTTTTACAATAGTGGAGGCACCAGACACAACAGTGTTAGCCTCCAGCTACCACTTATATAGATAAATAGGCACCTACTGCGATCACCAAATACTTACCGTTAATGTTTTTTTGCTACATCTACTTTCTACAATAAAATCTTGGAGACTGGATATGTGTTCCTGGAGCAAGAGCATAGTTCAATGCACACTTTTCAGCTGTGGAAGTAAATTTGATTTTTCTTATATCAAGAACAAAATATTTGAAAAGCACTGCCCATAGCTGTGATGGCACCATGTGGTACTCCTACCTTTGCATCTCACCGCTACAACTGGAATTGTCTGTTCCTTCCAAGAAGGAGGAGGGACAGCAGCAAGTGCTTTACTGCACCCTTTACTGCAGTCTGGGGGCGATTCTGATATCAGGGCTCTGACCCACTAGGGAAGAAAGCCTGTGTTTCATGGTTTACTGCCTGATTTGATCTCCACTCCTTATTTGCTGCCCTAGGCATCTGCCAGCTTTGCTGAAGCAAGGCTAGAGGAATGACCTGCAGTCGTTATTCCATGGCAACATTACAGGTGGATACTAATTCCACACTGTGGAGCTGCTCTTGTACTTTTCCCCTCATCAACTCATCTAGTGGCTCTAGGACAAAATGTTGGCCTGTCTTTCCTTCTGGCAACTTAGAAATTCTGTTGCATTTTTCACATCTTTAAGTTCCTTGAGAAAATACGCAGGCATTATCCACACAAATATTGTCAACAACACTGAGCCCATGGAGAAACCACACTGGAGAAATTACTTTTTTCTTTCACTACAGAAGAACATAGGAAATGTGTACATCCCATTTTGACAATCAAAAAGATAGAATCTCATTTTATTTGAGAATTAATATGTTTTAAGCCATACACTTGAAAAAGAAATCTTACTTGCTAGCAAAACTCTACTGTAGGAAAGATGAAAAATAGCCAACAGATACTTGTCATATTTACAAAAAAGGAGATATATATCAACAGTGGTGCACAATTCACAAAGCATATTTTGAAGGCAAGCTAACCACTGAGCCTCAAACACTGACAAAACGATATTGGAAGTCAAGTGACTATTGCTAGCTGGATGAAAGAGTTCTTATTTACACATCTATGTTATCCTAACACACTTATGCATGTTAATATATTAATATATTAATATATTATGGCGATATATGTTAACACGAGAACTCTTTGTTCCTATTTTCTGACAGCCCTCACTTGTGTTACTTTAAAAAAAAAAAAAAAAAAGTAAACAGGAATTCAAGAACTTTCTAGTAAATCTAGTACTCTAATAAACTCAGATTGGCCCAAGCTAAGCAGGGGCACCATGAGCCAATTCCCACTGCAAGCTAAAGAAGAGGGACTTTGGTAGCTGATCCCATGGGGAAAACAAAATGCACTTTCAGGACTTCTTCCTTTACTGTTTCCTAACCACTCACCTGCAATAGAGAGATAGAAGTCTTTAAAATCTTTGATCTCTCGGGAGCCTTCACAGGCTGCTATACAGTCATCGTAGGCTTTGAAGAAATCAGGAAGAGCAAGTTCCATATCTGAGACTGATGTTCTCCAGTTGTCACCATTGTATGCTCTCACAGCCCTGACAAAGAGATTCTGAAAAATTGGCAGGAATGAAAACTAGCACTAACTGACCTGTGGAAAGCTGCATGTAAGTTCAAATACAGTAAGTGATGTCTCGGCATTTCTGAATTACTACATAAACTATTATTCAATTAATATTAGGACGACAAACACAGATGATGAATGGATTTTATCAGGTATTTCCCAGATATCAGAGTATGTAATTCCATTTCAGATAAACAGAAAAACCTGCTGGACAGAGGTAGCAGTGTGATTCTAAAGCACAGATTTTGACAGAGATTTTCAATGGAATCTAAACACCAGAAGTTCTACTTAGTTTAAGCTGTGCTTCCACAGCTCTCATGCATTTTAGTAACTCTTTGCACTTACTTAGCTATATTTGTTTATCTCCACATAGCAGCTTTCAGGTGTGCTACTTTTTTACACTGATTTTCTGGACTTGTGGAACAGTAAAGACCACAAGAGGTGAGAATTACTGCATGCATTAAGAAAAAACAGAAAAGACTGAGGAAGACACGAAGAGGAAGAGCTGAGAACATGTAAGCAAATGAGATCCTTGAATCTCACACAATAAGAGAAGTAACAAAAAGTTCCAAAAGGCAAGACTGTTAAAAAAAGCATACCTCATAAGGCTTTGTCTCCAAGTCTTTAATATGCTCCTCAGCATCAGGCATGCTCTTGTAGTATGCCATATTTCTTTGCATCATTTCATCATCTGGATGCTTCAGAAGAAATGTATGAGCTGCTGCAATAGCTTTTGGAAGGTTATTAGCCTAAAAAGGGGTGGGAGAAGGGGGGGGGGGGGGGGGGGGGGAGAAGAGTTAATCAGGGGAAAAAAAAAACAGTTTCCCACTTTTTGTCAATAAACTTTCCTGCAGCATCTATATTCCCAAGCTTATTTCTGCTGAAACCTCAGTCTCAGCAGATATAATGGTACAGTGAAACTGATGTTAATACTTCTCAGTTTTACAACTAGCTGCACCAGTGTGAACATTTCAGTGGTTTTTTTTGTTTTGTTTTTTTTTAAATCTATTGTTGTTTCAAATAGCATAAATGATTGTAAATCAAAAAGTACTTTTTCCCTTTCCTATTCCCATTCATAAAGCTGACAAAACACAAAATTATACTATTGCTCATATGTAGGATTAATCGCATAGCTATTACTTATGACAGCCTATGGATACTTGGCACGGGTCATCACTTTCCATGGTATTTATGTAGCTTATTTGCCTAGCAGCAGAGAATACAATTTTACAATAATGTATCTTCCTGATGGTGTTGTGGATTTAGAGCAAACAGCAGTTACTTGCTCAATAATTGTTTCTAATGTACTATGTGATTTTTTGTACCCGTTTTAAAACTAAATTCAAACTCCACTAGAGATATTTTGTGAAGCTCATTTACAACTGCATATGCCAAATATATATGTACTTCTACACTTGTGCCTATATTTTATATATATGCATATTTTATAAAATATATAGTATATGTACACATATTTATGAAGAGTGAGACTGTGGAAGTAAAAGTCTTACGTATTTGTGAAATGCTAAACCCTTCTCTCTTGTAAGCCAAGATCCAGATCAACCCATCCAGTCTATTGATGTGTAGGTGATAAAAGAGTTCCACCTAACATCTCAAATAGCTTATTGAAGCGTATGTATAATGCTTTGAGCAAGAATCACAAGCATGCATGCAAATGCACTGTTCTTTTTGCATCCATAAAAGGAACTCCTTCATTTCATGAAGAAACTTGAGAGACTACCAAAGAAACACTTCAACCCTAATATTAGCTCTTACTGCTGTGCTGCTGTAAGGGCCAAAGCACTGGAACTATTCCAGCTGCACTTCCTGTCCGTCCCAAAACTATGTGCTTCCCAGTCAGCCTGCATGTTTCTAAACACAAAGGGAAATCTCAGCTGCACTTTCATCAAATGCATAAATCCTCTTGTGTTTGGTGTTTTAACTCTATTTGCTGGTAGGCTGATGAGCCCCTAATTTTTGCTTAGTCCATGATTACTCTTGGTTTCAATTTTCACCACTAAAAAAGGGAAAAAAAAAAAAGGTTTTGTAGAAACACATTCCAAAGTAAACTTGGTGGCTACAAGACAGCTCCCTCCAGAGGAACAAGCATAGCATAGAAATACTGGCTCCCAGAATCACCTAAGACATGGCAAAATTTCACTCTTAAACTCACGTGAATAAATACATGGTCACTTAAAAAATTATCTTACACCTTCTTTCTACATTATAAATGATGTTATGGATGAAAACAAACAACAACAACAAAAAAGTGACATTCCTTCGCAGCCAGGAAAAAGTCCCTTGTATGCAGCAGTTTGTATTTTTAGAAGGCCCATTCAGAATGCTCCAAGTGAGTGATAAGAGCTCAGAGCTGGACTACGATATAACAAAGACTATAAGCAACAGATAGTAAAGAGAGAAACACCAAACCGCACCTCACAAATCTACTGTAAATGTGACTGAAAAACAGTTTAAAGGAAGAGGGAAATATTTCTCCAATTTCTCAGATTCACACCTGCCAGTCATTTAAGTGTATCAGAAACAGTAATTAGGAATGACTTGTGTCATTCCTGACATATTCCATATTACTGACATGATAAGTACATTGCAAACTTTGTATGTTCTATAGGAGGAATGAATAGTTAAAGTAAGAAAGACAGTAAATGGAAACATTTGTGGTGACATTATTTTGGTGTCTACATATGGCTTTGAGAAGAGTGCCTGCCCACTCTCTTATTCAAAGGAAATGTCCCCTGTTTGATACCTTCTACTCTCTGTGTAGAGAAGCTGTGATGTATAAAGGCAAGTTCTTCTGTATAGTCTTAGGGATGGCTTCAAATGCACAGAATTATGCTGGTGTGACACAGTGCACATGGATATTGTTAATTAGTGTTTCACAAGAACGTGTTTCCCTGTTTTGGTTTATATAACTTTGGAAAGCAGTTAAAAAATATTTTAAGTTTTTCTCCTGCAAGACACAGCAACAGTTAAAAAGGTGTGTATTTTAAGCCAGCAATCTCAAAAGGAATGCACAAGCATAAATCCTTGTATAATGAATACTGTGTTATACTGGAACCAAATCCCTAAAAGAAAAGGCAATCTAAACAAAAGTGTTCAGCTTATTTTCTTCGCCCACAGATGTCCTATTTATTCAAAATGCAAGTTATTGCAGTATCTGAGGGGATAGAATGAGGACCTTGATTTAGGGAACGAAAGATGAAGACGTGGGGTGGGAAAATTGTGAAATAGATCTTGGTCAAGAGGGTGGCAAGAAGCTAGAGAAAAATAGAGATGTGTTACAAGAGTTGTCCCCAGTCTTAGCAGACCCAAGAGAAGAAGGTAAATACCATTCCAGGGCAAGTATTAGTGTCATGCTTCAGCAGCTGATTTCGCTTTATTTAACCTTACTGTGTCTGTAACAACACTGGAGTTATGCAGGCATCATGCAAGTCACACCAGGGGCTGCTATACCTGGAAGAACTACATGTAGACCAGAAGAGCGCGCTCAAAGAAGTTGGGCATGCTGGGGCAGAAGAGCACTTGCAATAGCAGAGAAGAAGCAGAGAAGAGCACTTGCAATAGCAGAGAAGAAGCAGAGAAGAGCACTTGCAATAGCATAATCTTGGCATGAAGGGTCTGGAAAAAAGGAAAAAGTCTGGAAAAAGTTTTAAACAAAGTCAGAAGCGAGTAAGAGAGATGGAAAGATGAGAGGGCTGCACAGCAGCAGGATAAAGAGACAGGGTCCCATGGCTGGGGTTTGGGAGGAACTGAAGGCCAATCCAGGAGTTCCACTGGATGAGGTGTGAAGAAGGAGCTGGGTGAGGAAGGCGCCGGGTGCCATTTTGTGGGCAAACACAGGACAGCCGAGGCACAAAGCGGTCCCCAGCAGGTGACACGAGGCAGGCAGGCAGGCAGGCAGCACCCCGGCGGGCCTCACCTTGAAGTAGGCGAACTGCAGGTACTTGTAGGGCTCTCGGCGCTGGAACTCCTCAAGCAGGCCGCGGCCGGGCTGGGCCTGGCGGAAGGCGGGCAGCCCTTGCTTGCAGCGCCGCAAGCACTGCGCCCGCCGCAGCACGCCGGCCAGCAGCCGCAGCTCGGCCAGCTCCCCCCCGGCGCCGGGGGGCGGCCCGGCGGCGCTGCAGTTGCGGTGGCAGAAGGCCTCGCTGTCGCGGAGCAGGCGGTAGAGCCGCATGCTCACCTCCAGGTAGTTGACGCTCTCGGGCCAGTTCTCGGTGCTGTACTGGTCCAGGCCGTAGCGATAGGCGGACTCGAGCGGCATCAGCTCGTCCCGAGGGAAGCTGCGGAAGCTGTACCGCTCGTACTGAGCCCCCGCCGCCGCCAGCAGCGCCGCCAACACCAGCCACATTGCTGCGGCAGGGGGAGACGGCCCGGCACCACGTCACCGGCACGGGGGGACAGGGGCGGGACGGGACGGGACGGGATGGGACGGGAGAAGGCGGCCCGGCCCCGGGGAGGGTCTGCGGGACCGGGGGCGGTGGGAGGGGAAAGCTTCCCTTTCCCTTCCATGCACAATGTGGAAATTGCCGGTGCTAATGGATGTAGGGCCATCTCCCGCCTCCTTTTTGTCCCACTGTGGAGGTTTCACCCTGCTGAACACCACAGCCACTCACACTCACCCTCCATGAAGGAAGAGGGGGAGAAAACACGATGAAGAGATCAGGGATTGAGATAAGGACAGGGAGATCACTCAGCAATTATTGTCGTGGGCTTGGCATAAAGAGAATAATTTATTATATATTTATTTATTATATATATTTAAATATATAATATAATGTTATATTACTATATTATATATTTAATATTTTTATTTTATATAATTTATTGTTTATTATATATAGTTTATTGCCTATCACTAGCAGACTAGAACAGTGAGAAACTAAAAGCAAACCAAAACCATTTTCCTCCATCCACCCTCTTCCACATCCTCCCCCTTGAGTGGTGCAAGGGAACAGGGAATGGGGGCTAGAGATACGTTAACAGGGAATGGGGTCTGCGGTCAGACCCTGATGCTTTGTCTCTACTATTCCCTCACAGTCACTCTCTGCCCCTGCTCCACATGGGGTCCCTCCCATAGGATGCCGTCCTTCCCAAAGAGATCCTGCGTGAGCTGCTCACAGGCAGCAGCTGCTGCCTGCTGCAAGAACTGCTCCCACGTGGCTCCGTACCACAGGGTCCATCCATCAGGAGCAAACTGCTCCAGCATGGGTCCCCCACGGGTGGCAGCTCCCCCCAGGCATCCTGCTCCTGCATGGGCTCCTCTCCACGATCTGCAGCTCCAGCCTGGGGCCTGCTCCTGTGCAGGCTCTCCATGGGCTGCAGCCTCCTCCAGGCCACATCCACCTGCTCCACCAGGGGCTCCTCAACGAGCTGTAGTGTGGAGATCTGCTCCACCATGGAGATTCATGGAAGAACTCTACAACTCAAAGCACATGAGTTATAAAGTAGGTATGTGGTTTATTTCAGTGCTGGGTGCACGCGGGATAGCTCCCAAAGGCATGCGCACCCTAATGCAGCAACTTGCGTTGGTTATATGCAGTAAAAAGTTACATATGCATGAAGTTTCCCAGTATGCCTATACATATTCATAACCTTTCCCCGCTTTGTATTAGCTCCAAGAAGTAATTTCCATAAACTCCTCCCACCTGTGCTTGTGCAGTGCCTTCTGGTGGTGGCTGTCAGGGAGTTGTGGTTGATAACTCTCCTCTTTATCACCACTACTTGACCCCCTGCCTTTGTACAGACTCAGCTGTTCCTTGGCTCTTGTCCAAACCACAAGGTCAGTGTCGGCTGGTTTTTGAGACAGTTTCCCCATTTTGTCAGGAAACATCCTCTGTGAGGGGACCCGAGACTCTTTGTTTCGGTTAATTTGCACAGTAGTAAGCAAAGACACTCAGCAATATCTATTTTAATGTGATTAAACAAGCCTCCATTCTTCCATTCCTGGCTTTAATAATTATGATTGTTTTATTTATAAATCATTAATGCAATTAAGCAAGCCCCCATTCTTCTGTCCTTGGCTTCAGTGGGATCCATGGGCTGCAGGGGGCCAGCCTGCTCCACCAGGGGCCTCTCCACAGGCCACACGGGAACTTCTGCTGCATGCCTGGAGCACCTCCTGCCCTTCTGCACTGACCTTGGGGGCTGCAGGGCTGGTTTTCTCATGTTTCCTCACTCCTCTCTACCAGACACTGTTGTGCAGCTTTTTTTTTAGCCTTTCTTAATTATATTATCACAGAAGTGCCACCAGTGTTGCTCATTGGCTCAGTCTTGGCCTGTGGCAGATCCTTTTGGAGCTGGCTAGAACTGACTCTTATCTGACATAGGACCTCTCTCTCCCAGAGCTCACCCCTGCAGTCCCCCTGCTACTGTAGCCTTGATACAGATGCTAGGAGATGAGGTTGGAACTTGACACTGGAGATGAGGCTGGGATGTGAGGCTGCAAGGTGAGCTTGGAACCGGAGGCTGCCACATGCCAGTAGGATGTGAACTTTTGACATGAGGCAGGGACCTGACATAAGGAGATAAGGATGAGAAGTGGGGCTGCAACAATGAGGCTGCAAACAGACCTGAGCCAAAGCTGGACCACTGAAACAGGCCTGACCAAATGAGATATGAAGCAGGCTGCCAGTTGGTTTTGCAAGTACAGGCTCTGTCTCTCAGGCTGGGGCAACTTCTGTGTGCTGTCAGGATCTAAAAGGGGGGTTACCCGGCCCATGGGTGGATAGAAATTACAACAGTGGGTTAAAATCGGTTAGTGGGACATTCCAGCTTCAAGCAGTTTGAGGGAAAAACAACACTGAAATCCAGTCCAACTACCAGAAAGAAAGAAGCATGTGCAGCATGGGAAGCTTCTCAAAGAAGCTCTCTGCTGGGTAAAAAACAGGCCCTTTTTATACCACTGAGACATAAGATGGTACAGGACACCAACAGTTCAGATAACCAAGAGATTCTATTTGTTTCTACCATCCTCCTATGACAGCCAATAGTTGATGATGTTCCTGATTTTCTTTAAGCAACACTTCATTTCTCATGCACGTTCCCAATTTCTAGGCTCAACTTCCTTGTGCCCAGGCTCCTTTTCACCTGCCCTGGGAAAAGTTGTTACTCAGATTATTGTTGTGTCCTCCTTGATGGTTTCTTCGGGGCATCTCTGGTGCTCAGATGTCCAGCTGCATGTCAAGGATGTCCCTGGATCCCAGGCACGGTTTCCAGGCCGAAGGCTGAACTCCCGACCTGGACCCCAGCCTGGCAGACAATGCTCCTGTCAGTGTGGAACAGCCATTTCATGTCAACATTTTCTCAGAACAGTCACCTTAAATCCCTAAGTGCTGCCATCAGGGGCATCCCAAGAGCCTTGTGATGTCACCAGAGAGTCACCATCACCCTACGGCTTCACAAAAGGCAGCTGGCCATAAGTGCCTGAGTGTCCAGCCTTGGTTGAGCCTGGCTGGTGGCACTCAAGAGGTTGAGGTCTTACTGCTGGAATGCGAGAGGTGGAGGTGTTCCTAATGGAAAGCGTGATGTTGAGGTCATTCCGGTGGCACGTGAGACGTCAAGGTCCTTCCTGTGGCTCAAGAGATGTGAAGTCCTGGGTGGCAGGTGAGGGACCCCAGTCCTTCTGGTGGCATGTGAGATGCTGAGATCCTTCTGGTTGCAGGCAAGGCATTAAGGTCTTCCTGGTGGAGTGCAAGGTGTCAAGGTGCTGCTGGTGGACCACGAGTCTTTGAAGCTCTGCCAGCAACCCACAAGGGAGGTGCCGGGGACTGGAGATGCTTGATACCTGGTTGTCATTAGAGCAGCTTCCCAGGGAGGACAAGCATCTCCACACTGGAGCAGCCACAGGCACCATGAGCAATCCACACCAGGAGCTGCCTGTGGAGGCCCCATAGAAGAGACCTGCACCATCTGCTTGAGCCCTCTGGCTGATGCAGCATGGCTGGATCCCTGAGGGCACTCCTTTTGCATGGAATGCATCCAGCCATGGACCATCCACAGAGCCACCTGCCCACTCTGCCACCAGCCAATCATTGCCATTGTGCAGCTGGTGCCACACCCTGTGCGAGACACCTCAGCCCACTGGCCCCGGGGAAGGTTCCAGCAAAACACAGGGCTGGGGAGGCAACAGCAACAGTAGATGTAGCGGAGCCCCTCCAGCTGCTGGTCCCACAGCATCTTGCCCAGGTTCAGGGAGCATAGCCCCTCCATGCCATGACAGCTTGTATGCAGCTTCTCGTGGCACTGGGAGCAGGACAGGTGCAAACGGCCCCACTCCCTGCTGAGCACCAACACCTGGGACATGTTGTGGCTGTGCAGGGCCCAGCAGGAGGAGCTGGGGGCCAGCGACCATGCAGGCCACATCTGAGCAGGTAGACAGGCCTCACCTGGGGCTGGGATGCTGGCGGCAGCCAGCATTATTCTTTCATTAAATTATTATATTATTTTTCAAAGCCTCTGCCTGCAGTCATTTGTGTGGCATCATGTGGAGAGGGCTGAATGCAGCCTGCTCCCACTCCATAAATTGTTTTGGGGATGTTGGCTGCAGCTGGGAGAGGACAGATGGATGGGGAATGGCTGCAGGTGACAGGCACCTGTGGAAGACTCAGGGATGGGAATTCATTTTGGGGGTGGAAAATCATCATGGGAATGGGAAAATGCAGGTGATGGGGGCAACCATCAAGTTGACCATGCCCTAAGGGGAAAAAAGCCAACTGAAAAAGTCTCCTGAACCTGGGGCAGAAGAAAATGGTTGCCAGCCTGAGAACCAGGCCTGGGAAACCTAGAGCATCCTTGGGAGGTACTGCTGGCCTTTTGGAATTACAGCTGGGTACCATCCCTGAAGATGCCAGCAACAAGGCCAAAAGTAAGGAACTATAACAGCAACTGACTATCTGAAAAGGAATAATTAGTCTGGGAAAGGTACAATTTTGAGAGACTAGGAAACATCATTGTTTATTGGTTGTCTCAGGTGAAATAAAAATTAGCATTATCTTTTGGCTGCTCTAAGGAGATGGTAACCTTATGCCCTCTTGTGTCTCTTTTGATAGAAAAAGTATTCCGTTTCTATCCAAAATGCAGCACCTCCCTTTCTCCCTCAGAACTTCCTGTGCTGCGCAAATGTTTCTTCAGGATTTCCTAAACCAGATGAACCTTTGCTGGGGATGCCTGGCTGACTCCAAATTCTGTGATCATCTTCTAAGCGAGACTTTGTTCTTTATTCATTTGGGTCCACTCCTGGGGTTTGGTCCATTCTGAGATTGGTTTTCTTAATTAGACCCTTTGAGGTCAGTTTGATAACCCACTTCTGGGATTGGTTTGATGCACTTGGAAATGGTAATTTTATGAAGTACACACATATGTCCATAATCTGTCATAAGTATAGTCTTGATAAGTGTAAGCATGTTTGCCATTATAGTATCAATGTTTGCAATCCATAAGTATATTTACTGCTCTAGTACTATAGATAAGTATGTTGAACCTAGAATACTAATGTAAAGTTGCTGCTAGAACAGGTATTTTTCTGCATCTAGTTGCCTTCCTGCTTCCGCTAATTGCTGCTACTATTAATTAGTGCTATCGCATCAATTTCCACAACATATATATACATATATTTGCTTCCTGGTAATATCTGTAATAGCCTGATATCTCTATCCATGCTTGCCTTTAATCGCAGAATATTAGCTAATTATTTTTCAAAGCTTCTGCCTGCAATCATTGGTGTGGCATCATGTGGAGGGGGCTGAATGCAGCCCACATGATTTGTGGTCATCTGTATTACAGGAAAGTTTTTAGAAAATAAAGCCTCCTGCTTCCACGTGGACTCCTCTCTGCAGGTTGCAACTCCAGCCCAGAGTCAGCTCCTGCTCGGGCCTCTGGATGGGTTTCCTCTCCACAGGCCTCAGGAGAAGTTCTGCTCTGTGCCTGAAGCACCTCCTGCCCTCATTCTTCACTGTCTCCAGGGTTGTTTCTCACATATTTTGTCACTCTTGTCTCCCCGTTGCTGTTGCACAGCAGTTGTGGATTTTTTTTTTTTCCATTTCTTAAACCTGTTCTCACAGAGGTTCAGCTCTGGCCAGCACAAGTCCCTTTTGGAGCTAGTTGGAGCTGGCTCTTTTCTAACATGGGCCAGCTTCTGGTCTCTTCATAGACGCCACCTGTGCAGCTCCCCTGCTACCAAACCCTTACCACATAAATGCAATACACCTGTCAGCATCATGGCCTGCTAGTGTCAGTGCCTCTGTTGCTGGACTGTAGACCAGGAGACTGTTCTAGCTCTCTGGGGGGGAAGATGTGGAGGTGTGTATAGGCAGTTTGGCCTGTATAGCCCCAGCTAAGGTGTCACAGGGATTTTCTTGTCCCCTCTGAGAAGCTGGGGCAAGTCCCTTCACCTGGGCCGGAAGGAGCTTGTGGATGTCCTAGAGGTCCAGGGGAAGGAATGAGATGTCTGGTAGGCTAGACAAAGCATGCTTGTGGCTGTGCAGCCTGCAGAGGGTTTGGTGTGGTTGAAGTGTTGGAACAGGCTTGGGAGTGGGCAGGTGGCTGTATCTTGCTTGGGATGTGGCAGCTGTGTTGAAGGGGAAGCCAAGGGGGGGTGAATTCATCATCTTGCCAATAAGTGAGTTGCTTGCGTTGCACAAAGCAGATGAAATTTGTAAAGCGTGCAAGGTGGTAGCAGAATAAGATGCCAACAAGAGTAGTGGTGGGAAGACTACTGCTATCCGTAACAGAACAGAAAAGGAGACTGAGCAGCTGTTGGTTACACAGTGGGGTGCGCTTAAAACCACCAGGAGAAATCTTTCCTGTCTATGCTCGTACTACCTTAGAACCGCCCAGTCCCGTCTGATCGCGGAAACTAAGCAGGCTCGGTTTTGGCCAGTACTCAGATGGGAGACTGCGCGGGCATACCTAGCGTTGTAGGTCCTTGCATTTTGTCCCTTCTACTTCCGAGGCCGCACGGCGGCTCTGCCCCTTTTCATCCTTCCCTTTTCGGGCGGGGCGGGGCGGGGCGGAGCAGGCCTGGCGGGCGGGCGGTCAGCTGACGGCGCCGGCTGCGGGCGAGGCGGGCCGGGTAGGAGCGCACTGTCCGCGCTTGCCTTGCCGCCCGGCATGCTGTGGCTCCTGCTTCCGGTGGCCGGCCTGGCAACACTCCTCAGGGCCGCGGTAAGTCGCGTCCCGTCCCGTCCCGTCCCCTGGGCTGTTGGGTGCGGCTGTTAGCGGGCGTGGGGTGAGGGTCGTTTGGGAAAGATGGGTGGAAAATGGCGTCTCTAGGAGCCTCCCCCGCAGGTGGAGGGTGCTGCCAGGTGTGCACAGCCTTCAGCACGGCTTTTATTTCCTCCCCACGGCCGCTGGGCCGTTATTAATTCACCTTTGGAGGGCGGGAGGCTATTTCGACGAGCTCCACCGGCAGGGGCTGGATTCTTCCCCCTTTGTGCCTCGGGGGATTCATTCTCCTGCAGGGGCGCTGCCTGGGCACCGGCAATCCGGTAATACCCCCCCCCCCCCCCCCCCCCCCGTCTGGGCGAAGCAGTCCTGCTGGGTGCACCCCATCCCGCATTTAGCCTTGCTTTTGAAAGAATTAATACATTCTGAGGCCTAATTAAGAAAGCCTGGGAGGGGAAAAGGGGCAGGAATTGAACTGCTGTTATCTGCTAGGGACACTGCATTTAGCCGGTCCTATGGGGCAGCTGACTCTTGTGGGGTGCCACCACAGGGAGCTGTGTTTGCACTTCTGCCCCTTCTTAGCTTTGATTCCCTTATTGTATCTTGCTGGAGCTGCACCGCTGCCTAACTGGAGGCATAGGTAAACTCTGAGGCTTGCAACATGTTGTGGAAGCTGTGCTTTGTCACTTAGGCCTTGAGCTCAAAGCAAAGTTTTGCTTTTTTCTTTATATTTGGTAATTGAGAACTATATGGAAGGCTAAAGCTGTGTGAAAAGCAGTGTGACCTTATGGGATATATTTATCTAAGGGAATTCAATGATAGTAATTATGGTTGCTGAGAGGGGTAGGGTTATGACTGAGCTTTGGAGCACTGCGAAGGTAATGAATAAGAAAGGGGAACTGATTCCAACTTGAGTGGTGTGGGAAGAAGGGTGCTTGGCAAATGTAGTTTAGGTTAATCTAATGGATTGGTTTAAAGCAGGTAAGATACTTGAAAAATATACAGTGCGTTTTAGTAATAAGGTAATTTCCTGCTACAGAAGGTTGTAGAAGCAAACAGGATTCAACAAAAAAGATAAAACAGATTGAAATATATCAGGCTTATAAATAACATACAAAAAGGACTAGGCAGGGGTGTGCCTTGTAAAACTCCTAATGTAACAGTTTTATCACCTGGAGTAGTAGAGGATGAGCAGACCACAGGCAGTGTCCAGGATTGCATTCCTTTAAACGACATTCCTTATTGCTGTTGTCCAGGTGGAACGTAGCCTTGTGTCTAGAGATCCATGGATGTGAACCAGTAGGACACTTCCTATGTTCTTATCTTCCTAGCTTTATTTACTTCCTGCAGAGGCATGTATGTAAAATAGCATTGTTTTTTTTTTTTTTTTTAAGAATGGTGTTGTAACAGCTGTGAGGCCTTAAGGAACTGAGACTTGGACACACGCTTTCTTTCTTAACCCATAGATTGTTGACCAAGCAATGAGAGAAGGGGTCTTTCTAAAGGTTGGTCTAGTCCTCAAAAGTACAGCAGGGACCTATCATCACAGAGTTGCTAACAGGGATTTCCAGTATAATTCAGATGTAAATGATGCTTACTTGTTTGTTTTCAATCTGGAAGTAGAGATGCATTAGGTTTGCAGAGCCCATTATGTTTTAATCCCTTTTCAATTTAATTGCATCCTGTTAGGATGCCAGGATATCCTGAAATAGGTGTCAAGTCTTAGGAACTGTACATGTAGTGGGAGTGGGCAGAAAGTGAGTAGCAAAACACAAGGAGGGTTTCACCAGTCCTACCAGTTTTGAGGGCTTTGAGGAATCCTTGTTCCCCAAGGGATATCTCCATGTACATCGCCTGCAGTTCCTAGGACCACAGCTGTATCTGTCTAGCTGTTCCAGTGGGTATTTCCCTGGTGCTGTTGTGTGTGTTTGTAAAGCCTCATATGTTCAGTAAGAATGATGCATGGTGATATGTGCTTTTGTGATGGAGCCAGATGCTTGGGAAAAAGAACATAAAACATGTGTGCTAAGTTCAGAGCAGAAGCAGCTTAGTCACAGAATCTGTATAGGGCTTTCAAATACTATGATTGCAAATAGTTTGATGACTGTTACCAGCAGTTGTTGCATCACTGTTGTGATCTATTGTCAAATGTTTTTAGGAAGACTTAATGAGGAAATAGCAATAAAAAAAATAAGGGGGAGGAATCACTGAGGCTGGAGGGCAGAGAACTTGGAAACAAACGGTCAGAACAGAGTATTTTTGGTTGACTATTTATCCCATGTTAGGAAATTTCTTCCCTGTCTTATTTTAGTTATTCTCCATGACCCAGTATCCTTAGTAGTGTGTGCAGCCTAGCAGATCCCTACTGCAGTCTGGGAAAAAGGGAATGTATGTAATATTTTACAACGGCTGATACTGGTTCCTGGTTGCAGGCTTCATTAACCCAAGGCATCCCTTCATAATCACATTATTGTCTACTGGAGACTCCTACAGAGCAGAAGGGAGTGATCAGGAAGCAAAGATGATCTCCATCAAGCAACTGCCCCTTGAAGCAAAGGCTGCAGTGGCTGCAGGAGTGGTTTTCTTCTCCATGATGTTATCACGGAGCTATCTGGCAGAACAACTGGAGCTCAAGACGCGGCGTTGGCTTCTAAGGCTGCAGATGGCACTGTTTGCTAATTCTCTCATGTTGATAGGATCTCTTCATGTTTGGAGAAGCACAGTCACCATGTTCTACAGGTCTTCAGCTGCCAGCTCCTTCTGTTTCATGCCATGGAAAATAGCTGTGCTGATGTTTCTAGCTTTGGCTCATTCAAGCTTCTTTACATTGCTATTTCTTGTTGCAGAAGAGCCCTATTTCTTTTCTTTAGCTGCCTACACTTGCCTGGGGGCCTATATCATTCTCATCTTCTTCCTCTTTGCTCTAGGCTCTGTAGAGCAGGCTTATAAGTTCTTGACTGGGAGAGGCGCTAAGGCAGGCAGCAGCAATAAGAACAGCAGAACAGCTGTGAAGCCAGTTTTGGCAGTCATGCTGACTGTTGGGCTGACTGTCATTGGGCTATTAAATGCTTCCCAGCCTCCTACTGTAAATTCAGTGGAGATTCCAGTTTTCAAGCTGCCCTCAACAATGAACAATCTGAAAGTGGTATTGCTTTCAGATATCCACCTGGGGCCTACAGTTGGGAAGACCAAGCTTGCAATGATTGTGCAAATGGTTAAGGCTTTGAAACCAGATATCACAGTGATTGTTGGTGACCTGACTGACTCCGAGGCAGAGATCATACGACCAGCTGTTGAGCCTCTTGGAGAACTTAATTCCCCTCTGGGGACTTACTTTGTCACAGGAAACCATGAGTACTACACATCAGATGTTGGCAACTGGTTTGAGCTGTTAAAATCACTTAACATTCGGCCACTCCACAATGAGAATGTGAAGATTGTTTCGCCAAAGAGCCCTGATGATTGGTTCTGCCTGGCTGGTGTTGATGATATTGAGGCAGATGTATTGCGCTACTCAGGGCATGGCATGGATTTAAAAAAAGCTCTCAGAGGTTGTAGCAGTGAGCATGCGATTGTGCTGCTAGCTCATCAGCCAGTTGCTGCAAAGTGGGCCCTTCATGAGAGACCAGACATAAATTTAATTCTCTCAGGCCATACTCATGGAGGGCAAATGTTCCCACTAAATGCTGGGGCTTATTTTCTGAATCCCTTTTTTGTTGGCTTGTACAAAGTTGGGCAGAACACCTTTGTCTATGTCAGCCCAGGGACGATGTACTTTGGAATACCCATGAGGTTGGGCAGCAGAGCTGAAATAACAGAGATAATTCTACGCTCTCCTTGAGAAGTTTCCCATTTGACAGACTTCTGCAATCATTTTTGGTCAGTGTATTGGTTCTTCTGCTTGGAAAGCAAATCCTTTTTCAGGGAAGTAATAGAAAGGTGTCAGGATGGACTACAACAGGTTGTGTTAAGTCTGAGGGGAAAACCAAATCTATCTTAGGTGTATGAAACAAATGTTAAAATACTGATGAAATTAACACTTAAAGTTCGTTATTATGGAGATTCTATGTTTAAAGACAACACTGCAGTGGAGACAATGCATGTACTGTGCATGTTTAGTAATACCTGTGGCTAATTCACGTTTCACTGTTTATTACACGTGAGGCAGCTGCCTTGTCAAATCTCAGACCAGTGAAGGAGGGTTCTGATCTCTTGCAGTGAAATCACACGTGCACGTTTTGCAGAAGGGACTACGGAGTGTCCACAGAATATCCATTCCAAAAGTCTTACACCAGAAAAGTTACAGGAAAGGAACGGTTATATTTCTTTGATTAAAGCTGGATTTCTTTAGGATGTCTTTACTGCACTGTCTGTATGCAGCATGCAGTGGGGCTCCGGGTCTGGGCTGCTTACCAATACTGTGAGGTGTTAGGCAGCAGTTCCTGAAAAGCATTTTTTTTCACCATTGGGAAGCTGATAGTAAAGGATCAAAATAGCTGTCTTTCTGCAGGCATTTTCCTCAGTATAACTGGGCATCTAGTAATTCCTGAAAGCAGCTCTAATAAAAGCAAATGAAAAAGAAACTCTTAATGTAATTTCTGTTGCTGTTTGAGCATTCAGTATCTCCTTTTGTAAAGTCCAAAGCTGAAATAATCAGCTCAGTTTGTATTTTTGTTTATGCTTAATTTCTCTTCTGTGATTTCTCTTTTATGAGAGTAAGGGGATGTTATTTGAAAGCGATGCAAATGATATTCAGTGGGTTAATGCTTGAACTTTGTTTAACGTTCTGAATTTCAAGTAAGTGATGTCTTCTTTAAGGAAACTAAACTCTGCAGCAAGTGACTTTCCTTAATAGCATTTTTATATCAATATCCTTATAGTATGATAAGCACATAGCAGATTAACTACTACAGGATAATGAGCTATGGGGAATTTCTCTCTGCCTTTCCTAGAACGGCTTAACACAAACTATTATCACTGGGAAATATGAATTATTAGAAAATCTTAAACATTTTTGCTTTCATGGCTCATACAGGAAAGACAGGTTGTAAATTAATATGTGTATGTTCTGAGGCTGATGAAACGGTTTTCTTCTGCACATCTCCCCCTCCTCCCCTTCCACCTCAATTCAGCTATATGAAATGCCACAAACAACACAAGCCATGGGACAAACGAGTTCTATGCTTGCAGAGACAAAGCTGAGGATGGGAGGACCAGAACTGTGGTGTTGAGTATTTTCCTCCTGCCTTCCCATGTGATCCTGAACCAGACACTCTTCTGTTTTACTCTTCAGTTCCTGTTCCTGTTTTCAGTGCATGTTTTCATTTTGTGGGAGAGATGTGTATGTGGGGGGGGGGGGTATTTGAAGAGTACCATGAGCTTTGTAAGGGTGAGAAGTTCTGTAGGTGAAGTTCTCAAGTCTCACTTCATTCACTCCCTTGAACCCCACCCAAGGTGGAGTTTTTAACTACTTAGCTTTTTTTGGTATCCTATTCCTCTGTGTGAAGATCTTGTATTTTTACTAGCAGGAATACTGAGCGATACTGTAAGGACATACTAGCAAATGTGTCATGTGCACTGGAAGATGGGTGGAAGAGCTAGAGAAGCCAGTCCTCTTAATCTGAAAACTCAATGCCTGACTCAGGAGGCTCTTTACTTGTTGGACTAGATCATTCTGTTTCGCAGTACCTATAACTTTTTTTTTTTTTGTGTTTTTTTTTTTTTCTCTTGTGTTTATGCAACAATACATACTTCTGCTCAAGTATCCTGCAGCTTTCATATGCATTTAGCAGGTCCCATTGTCAACACAGTATCCTTGTGGGATTCTTTTCCATCAGACATCTAGTTTAAAATGGCCTTAAGTAAGTAGAAAGAATCTCGATAGCTTGTAACCCTCTGTGTTACATCAAAATAACTTAATTTGAAAGCTGTGTTCTGGATTGGGTAATGTAGGGTATTCCCTCTAGGCCAGAAGTCCTGGGGTTTTGGTGTATTTACAGCCTTTTGGTATATGTACAGCCTTTAACTTGTTATTTTGAGTTATTGTGTTAAGACAAATTTCTTTGCTAGTTTCCTTATCAGGAGGCTTTTGTAGGACTGGTTTTAGATGGTATTAATTTCTAGCAACAAGTTACCAGTCTTATTTATTTTTCCTCCTCCTGCTCTGCTTTTTATTTCTCTCCTCATTCTGTTCAAATGTGTACAGAAACCTGGCTGAAGAGATCCTTCTGACCATGGAGTACACGGATGACTTCTGCATTACTTTGTGTGTATGTGCTCCTCTTTGCATTCTCTCAGGAGCAGATGTTGTCACACTATCATTTCAAAAATGTATTAAATTCTCTCAATGTAATTTAGTTACTTTTTTAAAAAAAACTGCTTCTTAAAGTTTTGTTGCTTGATGATTAGTAACACTTAAAATGTTTATTTCTGTGCCAGAAAACTTCAAAGCCTATTCCTACTTCTTTTTAATTATATATGGAAAATATCTTAGATCAACCATCTTCTTGATAGTAAGAGGAATTAATTTTTTCTAAAAGCTCTCAAAGACAGCAATGCATAACTGTCCTCTGAAGATTTTTCTATGCTTGTTCCAATTTGAGTCATATGACTGATTTAGATCCGTGTTCAATATTACAGATGACAAAAGTTGCTGTGCTGCTTATTTTTTTAAATATTTTTTGTATTTTTTTTGTATTGGATGTATTTGATCTGGAGAACTTAACTAAAGGAATGTATATTTCTTCCTACAGAAGGCCAGTTTATTTGGGGGATTGCCTGGGCCGGGGTTTATTACCATCAGAATAATACCAGAATAATATAATCACTTCGTGAAAGTTATATTTATGACAGTATATAATCAGTGGAGGTTGGTTTTGGAAATATGTAAATTGTGGTATAACAAATGCTTGAAATGTTGGGATTTAATAAAAACTTTATTACCAAGAAAGATGCCTCTAATGACCTTTTATTCTATACTAGTATTTACTGTAGAAGATAATTCTGAATAGTTTTGTTATAAATGAGGTCTGAATATTTATAAAACAAATATTTCTAAAAGGTATAAAAGCTATAAAAAGCATAAAAGGCAAGTAAACAGCGCTGCGTGTGTGGGGAGTCTGCGCTCCACCAACACGCATGCATGAACATCAAACATTCTAAATACATGTATACAGAACATTGCTTTACATAATAACCCAACTAAACAATCCTTTAAGTTCTGTAACTTAAGTCTCCATTTTCCATTCCTTTTGAACAATGTCTTGCTTTAAGTTGTCTCCTTTTCACGGCCAATAGGCCTGGGTCAAAAGGCATGTCCAGGTTAGCAGGGGGCAGAACAGCAAAGGCCTTCGATGGCTGTAGCAGCAGAGGGGCCCATGGCGATGGCGTGTAGCGGTCGGATCAGTAAAGGAGCCCACAGCTCCCTCACTATCTGGCAAACCACACGTTTGTGACTGTGGTCCCACATGGCTCTTTAAGGCCTCAGATTGCTCGCCAGGTGCCGAGCAATCCCACTGCAACCTTGTCGTTTTTAGTAGCAGAGTCCCACACCTTGACCTCAGTTTGGTCCCATATTTGAGGCTCATAAACTGTCTGATTGTTAAGAAGGAGAATAAGCTGTAAGGTTACCAGGACAGTCTTTGTTGCTAAGGACGTATGATTCTCCATAATGCGCAACTGCTTACCAGTGAGAGACAGTTGTGTGCACAGGTCCACTTCTCTCAGGTTGAGCTTCTTTCCAGCTCCAGTGTGCCTGTTTCCAGCGACTTTCTGTACGAGCTTCTCTGAGCAGTTTGCTGAGTTTGGCCGAACCTATCTTCATGAGGCAAAGTGCCTGTTCCCGTCCTGGTCTCTGTTCTGCCTGCCTGTTCCTTTTCATTCCTTCTTTCTGCTTCTTTACTGATGACATAACTTCATCACATCGCGTTGCCTTTTTTTTTTTTTTTTTATCTTGAGGGCAGGCTCCCCTCTTATACCCTTCTCTCCACAGCAGTTCTTTTCAAAACAGCTTTTCATTGATCAAACAATTTTGAATGTAACAACAACAGCAAACACACAGAAACTTCGATGCCTTAACAGCTGGAGAACAAGAGACCCGAGACTGCATGGAGTCTCCTGAATCACCCTTCTTTGTTCCCTCTAAACTCTTTTATATTCCTGATGGCCTCATCGTTAAGAGCCTAATGTTATCTCAACCATGGGGCTTTCCAACCCCCATGGCCACATTCCCAAATCTCCCCTTTCTTTATTAATATCAGCCATTTTCTCGACATGAATTACCACTCCATATGTAACACACCATAATAATGGTCAGATACAAGATTGAAGCCCTTAGAGACAATGATGCACTCAGAATACACTCATATGGTAAAGGGAGGCACTAGAGAATCTGTTCTGTCCTTTCTTAAATCAAGTAGGCAGCTGCTTTTGCAGCATTAATGCTCTTTCAATGTTTTTTAATGTGCATTTCTCCCAACTTTTTACAAAGAAATTTCATAGATTCACCACATAAACCTGTCAGTCATTTAACAGCCACTAGAATCTCATTCTTCAAATTTAGAAAACTGAGTTTTTTCACCTTGCTCGGAAAGGACACAAATGTGGATACAAATCCTCTTTGAACCTCTCCACCCGGGGAGATTTCTAGCATCCCATGATGATCATTCAAAGCCAGAACACCTCTTTCTCCACCCCCATCAAAACTGAGAATCACAAACCTGCTGCTCCCCCCAGCACCCCCTCCTCCCATCCAAAACCAACAGCTCTTTATCCTTTCTCTGCCCTTAAACTGGTTTTCTTTGCCTTATGTCCTCACCTCTTCAGCCCACACTTCTTCCCAATAGTAGTAGGCACTGGGCAAATTTAACAGCAGCCCTATTTTTACCGCTTTCCTGGTAAAAGTGGTTCCAGGTCAGGAACAGGCACTTTGATTGCCACATGAAGATAGGTTCGGCAGGTTCGGCCAAACTCAGCAAACTGCTCAGAGAAGCTTGTACAGAAAGTCGCTGGAAACAGGCACACTGGAGCTGGAAAGAAGCTCAACCTGAGAGAAGTGGACCTGTGCACACAATTGTCTCTCACTGGTAAGCAGTTGCGCATTATGGGGAATCATACGTCCTTAGCAACAAAGACTGTCCTGGTAACCTTACAGCTTATTCTCCTTATTAAGGATTGGACAGTTTATGAGCCTCAAATATGGGACCAAACTGAGGTCAAGGTGTGGGACTCTGCTACTAAAAACGACAAGGTTGCAGTGGGATTGCTCAGCACCTGGCGAGCAATCTGAGGCCTTAAAGAGCCATGTGGGACCACAGTCACAAACGTGTGGTTTGCCAGATAGTGAGGGAGCTGTGGGCTCCTTTACTGATCCGACCGCTACACGCCATCGCCATGGGCCCCTCTGCTGCTACAGCCACCGAAGGCTTTTGCTGTTCTGCCCCCTGCTGACCTGGACGTGCCTTTTGACCCAGGCCTCATTGGCCTTGAAAAGGAAATGGATATGCTTTTCTTCGATCCGGGAAGAACGGGATACATAAGGCCTGAAGACCGAGTTGCTTGACAACTTAAAGCGAGACATATTGTTCAAAAGGAATGGAAAATGGAGACTTGTTAGTAATCAAGAAAAGGAATGGAAATTGGAGACTGTTAAGTCATGGAACTTAAAGGATTGTTTGTTACCTTTCCTGATTGTAGGTATGTATAGGCATACTCGAGTTTAGTATGTAAAAGCCATGTTCTATATATTTAGAATGTTTGACGTTTGTGTGTGCGTGTTGGTGGAGCGTAGACTCCCCCTCACACAGAGCTGTTTACTTGACTTTTATACCTTTTATAGCTTTTATACTTTTTTTAAGTATAAATATTACAAAATTCAGATTGAGTTGAGACTTCATTTATAACAGTGCAATATGAATGAACTGACATCCAAAACAGTAGAGAGTATTTGTGCTTGTTGAATGCGCTTATCAAACAAGTAGCTCTGCTAGGAAGATGCAGGGAATTCATTCCAGCTGTATATTCACAACCATGAGTACACGATATTGGTCGAACCAGACAAATTCATGGCGAGAGCTGTTTAGTTGTAATTGTGAGCCCTGCAGTGTATGCTTTAAGAAATGGCTGAAGTTGTGCATTGACAATGTTGCATAGTTATTCATGAAGGGAAGTTTGTTTACAATGGGAAACAAATGAGGTAAATCAGAGTAAGTACTCAGGAAGCCCTTCTCCTATCATGAGGTGTATGTGTAAGGAAGGTAATTTACAGTTACTTTCACAGCTTTAAATGGTAGCTGGTGATACTTTTTGATGAATGGTACCTTTTCATTGAAGAAATCCCAATTTCTCTGCCAGTGCTGTTTGTCCCCTGAGAGTGGATCTTAGTGAACAGTTGGTTCAGGGCGCAGCATCTCTCAGCAGCAGTCTGCCATAAATGGGGTGAGTGCCTCTGCCATAGGTTAGTCTGGGGAAGAGGGTTGAACCCTCTTTCAGAGGGGATGAGGGGAGCAACAGCAGTTGGGCTGCACTGCTTTGTCTCCAGGACTTTTGCTAGTTGAACGTGGAAGTTAAAATTAAAAACACTGTATGAAATTAGGAAATCAAATGCAACCATAATAGTTTTTTTAATGGTCTTTTTTTTTTTTTTTTTTTTTTGGCAATGCTTCTCCCCTTATGTTTAGTAGTATTGCAAAATTTTTTTGCTGTCACCTGGGTTTGGTATTTTGTTTAGTCATGATCATTATGGAGTACTTGGCTCTCCATTAATGCTAGGACTTGTCATGGTACCCTAGAGGAATAAATGTCAAAAGAATGTGAATAGCTTACTTGCTGTTCTTAAGGGTGAGTTGTTTTCTTATGGAATACATACAGTACAATTCCATCTTAGTGCAGCATTCCCAGGAATCAGCATGTAGGTTATAAATCAAAAATCTGCAGTCTGACTTAGGTCTGCATTGAAAGAAAAGTAAGCAGGTGATATGTACCTGTGCGTTTTCTGCAGTGGCAGTTTACTTGAGGCTTAACAGTGTGAAGTTATGACAACAACGTAATTCCCGAGGAGAATCCCCACAGTGGATACAATGATCCTTATGGGTTCTTTTCAACTTGGGTTATTCAATGATTTGAGTTATTCTTGTTCCAGATCAGTTGGTGTTATACTGTTTGTACTTCTATGCTCTGTAAGGTCCTGATTTCTGCTGAAAACCTGGCATGTCTGTACCTTTGCTTAGTCAGTAATTACTTAAACATTCATGGAACTGTTTTTGCTAAGGATGTGTCTGTGTCTATCTGTGGAATCAGGGTTTAAAAAGCTTCTGCTATGCAATACTTTTTAGTCCCTTCAGTCTCCCAGACCTCAGTGTCCTTTCAGCTCTGGGCTACATCTTTTTTGTTATATGTCCATGACACAAATAATTTTACTTATTCACTGTTAGCAGAATGTTTTAGATTACTGTGTTCAATTAAGATGCTCTCCACAACTTTATTTTAGGTTTTCTGTGGGGACTGTGTGTTTACCATAGTTGTACCACCCCACTGTAGTCACCTCCTCCTTGGAGTCGATAGTCTTCAAATGTTTGTAGAGTCTTATCTCACTGAGTTGCTCCTTTTAATGATAGTCTAGGGATAGGTATGTTTACTCTGCAGAAAACTGGAGGAAGAAATTGCTGTGTGTGCATATGTATTTAAAAAACAAAACAAAACAAAACAAAACACTTTGCACTCTATCTGGTAGTTTGTGCTCTTGTCCTTTTGGACTTTGACATGTTAGTCTGTCTCCTTTTTGCTGTCCTGTTGCACAAAGAGTATGCTCTTGGTTGATGGTAGTGTCCAGTTGTTGGCCAGGAGTCTCAGTATTTGCACTATCTGCTGCATGCCACTTCTTCCATTCCTTTCACTTTACTCTTCCTGTAGTTGTACACACTATTACAGCAGAATTGTCTACCAGTTAACAGAGAGAAGTGGTTTCAATGTGAAAGTTTTTCAAAGCCATATGTGGTCTGTTGGGGATACTGTAGGGATATCTGTAGGGATACTTACTCTTGAGCAGAAGTCCTTAGATGGTGGATGGCTCTTGTGTAGTTGGGGGTCACCAGGAGTTATATCGTAGTCTACATGTCTATTGTATTTCTTTGTCACTTTTGTTTCATGGAGTCAATTTCCTAATTGCTGAGCTCTGCTTTTAGTACGAGGCAGGCCAAGGCCCACCTTTTCGAGAATAAAATAGACCAGTGCCATTCAACAGATTTTAATTTACAGTATTAAAAGCACTTCATTTGTAGTTGCAGAATATCCAATTCAACGTGGGATTTGTTGGGATGACTTCTGCATTATTTTCTGATAGGTATGGAGAACTAACTGATTAACAGTTGCTGACTTGGTGTTTTATTTCATCCCTTCTGATCCTTTATCAAAAGGATTCCTTTTTAATGTGCTCAGCAATTAGTCTAATAAAATGCGAATGCCAAGTCATATTATGCGAAGACAAACTTAACCAAGTACTTGTGGGAATAGAAATGTTGTTTTTGCGGAGTTACATTGTTTAGAAGGAGGGAATGTGGTACTGAGATACGCTTACAGTGATAAGAAAGTTTAGCAGGCGACCTAGTAAAATGCAGACAACCAGGCTCCTTAGGACAATTAGGTGAAAATCACGGTGTCAAGTCAGATAAGTGAAGAAACATTACCACTTCAAACAGTAAAAATGTCAAAAGAAATTTGAAATTTAGCAGGCCGGCAACTGAAGGCCATGCATTGTTTGTGAAGCATCAGATAGATTGTGAACCTGGATTACCCACTCAGTGGGGAAACAGGGGAGGGTCCTGCCATCAAAAGGTATATAAACTGTGTTTTGGAACTAGTAGATGCGCTCTCTCCTGCTTGTGGGGCACTGCCATTGCAATCGTGAATAAATTACTACTTCACTAAGATCCTCGCCTGAGCCTAAGTTATTGGCTACGGAGTGTTTCTCACAACTTAGTGCATTGTGGAGGGCATAAGTGGTGCTGTTGATAGGGTTGCCAAAGGTATTTGAGTGGAATGTAAGCTGCAATGTGTTAAAGTTTGAAAAAAGTTTGAAAAAAAAAAAAAGGTTTTTAAAGACACTTAACAAAAGATCAATAATAACCAAAAAAAAAAAAAGGTCTTAGTGTTTTCCTTGTTTTCCACAAGTTACTGGAAGCAAAAGAAGTTCAGCTGTTGGTCATAGTAGTTCTTGTCTTAGTGAATTTAGGCTCACTTGAGGAGTAATCCCAGTAATCTGGAAGTTAAGGTATGTTTCTTTTGGGTCAGAGGTGCAGATTCTTCTTAATTTTCATGCTTCAAGTTCATTGTTCATAAATGTTTGTTTGCTTAGCTGGAAAAGTACTGAAAGTAGGACTCCAAAATTGTAAATCATTAACAATTTGTCATAAAGTTAAGTCCATAGTTCACTAGACTGATCTACCAAACACTTTCTTTCTTACTAGAAACTAGGCTTTTAAGCCTGCACATACCAGTGCCCTGGAGAATGTGGTATTTGTTCTTTTAAAGCTCCCAGCTGGCTCTTTTTTCTAGACTTGTGTGACATTAAGCTGGAAATCAGGTTGTATTTTCCAGCAGTTTAGTAAGTTGAAGCATCGAGTGAGAAAGTGTTGACATTCATCAAATCAGTATTCCCGTGTTGAACTCGTCAGCACTTCCACTGGTGTAAGCAACTGCAAGATGTGTCACTGTAGAGAGATGGTAGTATATATCCATGTGCTAAAAGTGGAGGATGCATGCAGCACGTTTTGGTGTAGTGGTGAATCCTGTCCATGCTGCATGGCTGACTGATGTGTTGTAGTCCATTGGTATTGATATAGTATAAACTCACTTTAGGATAGAATAAAACTTGTGGTTAAAAGTTAGCAAGGACAAAGTAAACGACATCTTGTTATCTGTAGACCTTTTGTTATGATTAAGCATCTTGTTATTTGAAGACATCCCAGTATCTGTTAACCGTTAGTCAGGCTGAGACTTGAGATAACTTGAGTCAATTGTCTTGTCTTGTTAACTGAGACTTCCTGTTATCTGCCGACCCTCAGTTAAATTGAAAGCCAACTCAGCATTTTTACAGCTTGGAAAACAACTGATTAAGCAAAGGTGAAAAGTGCATTACGAGGAAGACCTACAGCCTTCCTCCCAAAGACCACTGCCCACATCCTGAAGACCCCGGCCCACAATTCTTGGAAGGCTTTGCGCAAGCGCAAGGACTGATAAGCTAATTAGCATATGAAGCGAGGGTAGGCGGGGTTATGTAATGAATATGTATGGATGCTAATTGAATATTCATTGTTTCACTGTATAAATATGAGGTATTTTGTCACTTCGAACATGCACGATAGGCGGAAGGATCCCCCGTGCATCCAGCGCTGCAATAAAGAATATACCACTTAAGGAAATTTTGGCTTTGATCTTTAAATCAGTATATGTATAGCTTGTGGAAAGCCATTCAACAGCTATTTTAACACCATTGTACCTTCTATTGTGGACGACCCACAGATGTTGTATAGACCGTTTTCAGTGTCTCTCATGGCAGAAAAAGCTTATATTGTGTAATTTTTGTTTTTAATTTTTATTTGGTACGCAGAATGTATCCCAGAGGACTTTTGGGATTGATTATGGCTGCAACTGCTTTGTCAAGGATGGACACCCTTTCCGTTACATCTCCGGTAGCATTCACTACTCACGGATTCCCCGGTATTACTGGAAGGACCGTCTCTTGAAGATGAAGATGGCAGGGCTGGATGCAATTCAGACGTAAGTAGATGTTGACTTCCAAAATAATTTGTAGTCTTCAGAGACCCACAAGAAGTAGTTAAGGGAAATGCTGCCATTGCTACTTATTTATTGGTGTTTTGTGTGTTTTTTTTAAAGTAGTAGGTGAGAAGGCTCTGGGGAAATGAAAGCATAGCATAGGTTGGGACAACAGCAGCTAACAATCTTGCTTCTTTGCTGATAGATGATGCTTATTGCTTCAATGCCCAGGATGCAAATGTGACCTGAAACCTGTGAACTTTGGCAACTAAGGAACAGTTTGATCATGTGCTCTTTCTCTGCCAAAGGCGGTAATCTCTTGTCAAGAGGCAGGCTAGAGAGAGGACTGTAAAGATCTAATATACCCTAAATTATATTGCCCTGAAGCCTTGAAAATGTTGGCAAAGGCTTTAGTAATATTTAAAACTATTTTACCAGAAGTGTTTTAACTTAGGGAAATAGTTGCATAGTAGGGGTACTTTTTTTTCTTAAAAACAAACAAACAAAATGAAACAACAAAAAAGAACCAAACAAAAACAACTCCACTACCTCCTAAAAATAAGTTTAAATTGCTTTCAGTTGTGTCTACCCAACCATTAGCCCATCATTTTTATCTTTTCTTCTGAGGTTTAAGTCCTTATTTCAACTGGTGAGAGAGGAAAAAAAATTAGCCAATTCTTCTTATTTTTGCCAAAGCTTCTACGGCAAGGGAAGAAGAATGGTAGAAAAGTATATAGGCACAGTCTTTTCAAGCAATGTTTGCAATTAACCATGTATGGTTTTATTTCTTTTTAAATTAATTGCAGGGCTTGGAGCTTCTTAAGCTGTGGATGTGGTCTACTTTGACTTCAGTAAAGCCTTTGACACTGTTCCCCACAGCATTCTCCTCAAGAAATGGGCTGTGCATGGCTTGGTCTGGCGTAAGCTTCGTTGGGTTAAAAACTGGCTGGATAGCCAGACCCAAAGAGTTGTGGTGAATGGAGTCAAATCCAGTTTGGAGGCCGGTCACTAGTGGCGTTCCCCAGGACTCAGTACTGGGGCCAGTTCTCTTTAATATCTTTATCGATGATCTAGATGAAGGGATTGAGTGCACCCTCAGTAAGTTTGCAGACGACACCAAGTTAGGTGCGTGTGTCGATCTGCTCAAGGGTAGGAAGGCTCTGCAGGAGGATCTGGATAGGCTGCACCGATGGGCTGAGGACAACTGTATGGAGTTCAACAAGGCCAAGTGCCGGGTCCTGCACCTGGGGCCCAACAACCCCAAGCAGCGCTACAGGCTGGGAGATGAGTGGTTGGAAAGCTGCCTGGCATAGAAGGACCTGGGAGTATTGGTTGATAGTCGGCTGAATAGGAGCCAGCAGTGTGCTCAGGTGGCCAAGAAGGCCAACAGCATCCTGGCTTGTATAAGAAGCAGTGTGGCCAGCAGGACTAGGGAAGTGATTAGGTCCCCCTGTACTCAGCTCTGGTGAGGCCGCACCTTGAGTGCTGTGTTCAGTTTTGGGCCCCTCACTACAAGAAGGACATGGAGATGCTCGAGTGAGTCCAGAGAAAGGCAACGAAGCTGGTGAGGGGTCTGGAGAACAAGTCTTACGAGGAGCAGCTGAGGGAGCTGGGCTTGTTCAGCCTGGAGGAGGCTCAGGGGCGACCTTATTGCTCTCTACAGGTACCTTAAAGAAGGCTGTAGCGAGATGGGGATTGGTCTATTCTCCCACATGCCTGGTGATAGGACAAGAGGGAATGGGCTAAAGTTGCACCAGGGGAGGTTTAGGTTGAATATTAGGAAGAACTTCTTTACTGAGAGGGTTGTTAGGCATTGGAATGGGCTGCCCAGGGAAGTTGTTGAGTCACCATCCCTGGAGGTCTTTAAAAGACGTTTAGATGTATAGCTTAGTGATATGGTTTAGTGGAGGACTTGTTAGCATTATGTCAGAGGTTGGACTAGGTGATCTTGGAGGTCTCTTCCAACCTAGATGATTCTGTGATTCTTTTTTGAAACAGCCTCCTTGCATGCTATTGACTGGTAGGTAGTGCTGGCTCTGACAGTGCAGAGCCTGTAGACTGGGGCAGTTTGTTCAGTGGGAGCATTGTACCATCTATGCATCCCCTCAGTTGAAACCTGTGTTTCGTTTATCCTGAAAATTGCAGTTACTTTGTATGCTTGGAGGCGTGATTAGTGTGGGCTGGTATGTGGAGAAGAGATGGAGAGATGTCATAAAAGGAATTTTTTTTTCAAACTCAGGTTTCTGAGTCGTGTCTTTGTTTCCCATAGAACTCTTCCCTGTGTTGTGACAGTACATTGACTTTTTTTTCCTTTGTTTTGTTTTTATTAAACCAAACAAGCAAGTTCTCTCTTGCTACATAAAGCCAACAGGATTAAGTAACACACTTGCTCTGGAATGTTAGGACAGAGTTGCTGGAAATACCCATGTAAAAATTATTTTGCTGTAATAAAAGTAATCAAACAGATTTAAAAATTATATTGTTTTATGTCTGGGTCTTGAGAGTGACTCTGTGACTCCAGTGACCTATAGCATTTTATACTTCACTTTTGTCACGGATTTATGGGAATGACCCCGTATTTCACCTGACAACCCCCATATATCTTCAATGCCCTCACTTCATTTCCAGCTTTTTCAAGCAATCTCTTTCTTGTGTTATAAATGAGGTCTCAACTCACTCTGAATTTAGTAACATAAAAGAATATTTATAAAAGGCAAGTAAACAGCTCTGGGTGAGCGGGGAGTCTATGCTCCACCAACACGCACACACAAACATCAAACATTCTAAATATATAGAACATGGCTTTTACATACTAAACCCAAGTATGCCTATACATACCTACAATCAGGAAAGGTAACAAACAATCCTTTAAGTTCCATGACTTAACAGTCTCCAATTTCCATTCCTTTTCTTGATTACTAACAAGTCTCCATTTTCCATTCCTTTTGAACAATATGTCTCGCTTTAAGTTGTCAAGCAACTCGGTCTTCAGGCCTTATGTATCCCGTTCTTCCCGGATCGAAGAAAAGCATATCCATTTCCTTTTCAAGGCCAATGAGGCCTGGGTCAAAAGGCACGTCCAGGTCAGCAGGGGGCAGAACAGCAAAAGCCTTCGGTGGCTGTAGCAGCAGAGGGGCCCATGGTGATGGCGTGTAGCGGTCGGATCAGTAAAGGAGCCCGCAGCTCCCTCACTATCTGGCAAGCCACACGTTTGTGACTGTGTGGTCCCACAGGGCTCTTTAAGGCCTCAGAGATTGCTCGCCAGGTGCCGAGCAATCCCACTGCAACCTTGTCGTTTTTAGTAGCAGAGTCCCACACCTTGACCTCAGTTTGGTCCCATATTTGAGGCTCATAAACTGTCCAATCCTTAATAAGGAGAATAAACTATAAGGTTACCAGGACAGTCTTTGTTGCTAAGGACGTATGATTCTCCATAATGTGCAACTGCTTACCAGCGAGAGACAATTGTGTGCACAGGTCCACTTCTCTCAGGTTGAGCTTCTTTCCAGCTCTGGTGTGCCTGTTTCCAGCGACTTTCTGTACGAGCTTCTCTGAGCAGGTTGCTGAGTTTGGCCGAACCTATCTTCATGTGGCAATCGAAGTGCCTGTTCCCGTCCTGGTCTTCATCCTGCTAGCCTGTTCCCCCTCAATCCTTTTTTCCTGCTTCTTTACTGATGACATAACTTCATCATATCGTGTTGCTGTTCTTTTTTTTTTTTTTTTTTTTTTTTTTTTTTTTTTTTTTTTTTTGTCTGGAGGGCAGGCTCCCCTCTTATACCCTCTCCACAGCAGTTCTTTTCAAAACAGCTTTTCATTGGTCAAACAACTTTGAATGTAACAACAGCAGCAAACACACAGAAACATCCGTGCCTTAACAGCTGGAGAACAAGAGACCCGAGACTGCATGGAGTCTCCTGAATCACCCTTCTTTGTTCCCTCTAAACTCTTTTATATTCCTGATGGCCTCATCGTTAAGAGCCTAATGTTATCTCAACCCCGGGGCCTTTCCAACCCCCATGGCCACACTCTCAAATCTCCCCCTTCTTTATTAATATCAGCCATTTTCTCGACATGAATTACCACTCCATATATAACACTTGTTTCTATGAAATTGCCTGTTCATTTCTCTGCTGCGTGTCTAGTCTTTTGATATAGGAATCTTTCTTTTTCCCTTTCCTTGTAACTCTATTGTCTAATGGCAAATTGCTGCAGGTTTTTTTTCCTATTGCTTTTTTCTTCCGTTCATACATGTAATTCATAATCTGTCACCGAAGTGTAACTTTTTTCCTTCCATTTTTCCCCTATTTTTCTTTTGTTGAGATCTTATTCCTATGCCTTACTGCAAGTTTCCTGCAGTGCAGGAAGAAGTGGAGACTGCGTCCTGTTACTGGTGTTGACTGGTCTCTGTTGGTCTTAAGAGAGTTAAGCTGTTTGTGTTCAGGTGCAAAAGGTATGGTCCAGCAGCAACTGTCTCCTTGAGGTTTTGTGATTTGCTGTGATTCAAAGATCGAAGCCGAAATTCCTTTAAGTGGTATATTCTTTATTGCAGCGCTGGATGCACGGGGGATCTCTCCACCTATCGTGCATACCCAAAGCGGAAAGCAGTCTTGAATTTATACAATCAATCTATCAATATTCTACAAGCGCCTATACATATGCATTACCTATCCCCGCCTTCCCTCGCTTCTCATGCTAATTAGCCTTTTGGCACCTTGCGCCTGCGTAGAGCCTCCCAAGAATTGTGGGCAGGGGTCTTTGGGACGTGGGCAGGGGTCTTTGGGAGGAAGACCCCGAGTCTTCCTCACAGTGTACTTTTCACCTTTGGTCAGGAATCTGCTGAATTGGCACGTTTCTTAATTGCGAGAGCTGGTTGTTGCCAATTCTTCCGTTTGTTGTATCTTTATAATGAATTCCAATGTCCAATTTTGAGATTTATAGTCCTTACATTTGTTTCTCTGTCCGTCTGCCGCTTCCTTATCATGAGTTCCAGTGTCTTGTTTCGA